CGGCAGAGTGGCTGAAGGGTTGCAGGAATCTGGCTGGACACAGGAAAAATGACATGGCTGCTTCCAGGCCCTGACTCTCTGGCTCTTCGGCTGCAGGAAGGGGGATTTTTGCAGCCCCTCCCAAAACTGCTGATTGCTGCCTCTTTCTAGTTCTGTTGGCTCAGGACAGGCTCACAGACACCGTCCCGGACATGCAAGGCTCTCAGCACCCAGGGCCAGCTCAGGCGGCCAGCCGGAGCACTTGGTCAAGCATGGCTTCTCTCATGTCCCACCCTGTTATTCTTTCAGTTCTGCTCTGCTTCTCCAGCATGATGCCTGCATCAGCTCACAAAGCACCCAAGAAATAGAAGGACTGATGGTGACAGTGCCAAAGGACATAAACACACTCAGGCAGGAAGGGGCTGAGTGTGCCTCTTAGCTGGCCTTGAAACTCAGAGCAGGATGATGCTGGCAGCGCCTTCTGCAAGAGGCAGCATCAAGAACCATGATTCTCCTAGAATCCAGGGTCCTTGTGATAGCAGCAACAGCAGGGAGCCTGGCTGTGGGGTGGCAGGGACACTGAGAGCTGGAGGAATGCAAGTGGGTGAGGCTGAAGCCTTAGGCTGGGCTCTCCCCGCTGGAGTGGGCAGAGACCCTCATGCGCCCCGGTGCCACACACTGAAGTCAGGCTCCTAGGTGGGGCCCAGTCGATGGCTCTCTGTCCAGGGAGCGCTGTTTCTCCATCTTCTTTGTTCAAGACAGGTGGCTTCCCTCAGGCGCTGGACTGGCTGGTTTCACTTCTTGGCCACTAGCCAAGGACTCTGGCCCTTAGGAGGCAGGGAGAAGGTGGCATGTGAGAAGGAGCCAGGGAGGTAATTGGCACATGATGGGTGCATCTCTGATCAGCAGGTGCCAGCAATTACCTGGCTAGATCTCCCCTGGGACCCCTGAGTTGGGACTCTCCTTCTCTACCCCTTTTTGCTTCCATACAATCCTGCTCATACTCCCCTGATCCAAGAGGTGACATGGCCCAGACTTGTGCTACCTGGAAGGTTTTTTCAGGGAAAGGCCTGAGAACTGAGGCAGAGGCTGGCCCATCTGCTGTGCCAGCTCCTCTCCCTGTGGACGCTTTTGTCCCCAACCCCCAACCCGATTTAGTCTTGTGTTCATTTTGGCCCTGCTGGCCACCACTGCATCCTCCCACAGCACCCTGGATGATGCCCAGGCCTGGGCATCCTCATGAGGCATTCAGTGTGGGTGTCCTTGTTAGCGCAGGAGGGCAGGGCTGGGTCTTACTGTCCCTTGTGCTCCCCTGGGAGCACAGTGCCTGCACATAGTAGGTGCTTCTTGAAGCTAGTTAATAACTCAGTAGGACAGAGATGAGCCCTAACCATGGAACAAATAAATGCTGAGAGTCCAGGGACAGAAAGGCCAGGGGCCCAGGAGTACTTTTGGGGCCAGGCTGTGGGCTTTGAGCTAGACCTTGAATGCAAGGTCTGGTAACACAGGAGAAAGATGGATGGGGGACAGGGCCCTGCAGGGGAAAGTATGTGGAGCAAGGAAGCAGGGGGCGCACGGAAGGGTCAGTGAGGGGCCCTGGGGAGGAGGAAAGGCCTCTGGTCCCTCACCCAGCTTGGCCTCCCCTTGGCTGTTTCTCAGGGACGAAACCTTTCTGGGACCCAGAGGGTGGCTTTGTGGGAAGAGTCTCACCCAGGCAGCTAAGAGGGAGCTCTGTGAGGAGCAGCTGCTTTCAGGGGACGGGCCCTAGGACATTCAGCTCCTTGGGGGAGATGCAGGGCTGGCCCTGCCTCAGTTTCCTTCTCTGCTCACCCTCTGGGCAGAGCTCCTCGGAACCACTCACCAGGAGCCTGTCCTTCTCGAGGTGGTCCAGGTTGAGTCGCAAGGTGCTTGACTTGTCAAAATCCAGGGCTGGGGGAGGGTGTGGGGGCAGGGAGGCTAATGGGAAAGAATATGGGAAATCTTCCCACTCTAGCCAGAGTTCCTGAACATTGTGGGTGATTTGGGGACTACTGCCCAGGATGTCAGGTGGCCAAGGTAGTAAGTGGATGAGTCTTCCAAAGGTTCATGAAAAAACTGCATGGATCCCACATGTTTTTTTTAGTGCTAAAACAGCTCATCTTTTGATTATCTCCCTTTTAAATGAACTTGGTCAAGATCCCCGGTAAGAGACCAATGAGATTCAATCTCCTCTTCAGCCACTCTGGTCCCCAGGAAAGCTGACAACTCACCTCACTTGAGTTTTGTTATTCAGGGTTACAGAGCACACGCATGCTGCCCCCAAAGCTGCAGAACCGACTCCATGCATGACCCAGCCCAGCTGCCCAGGCTTCCCAGGAACCTGGCTGTCCATGCGACCAGATGGCTCCGGGAGGCTGGGATGTTCCCCAAGTCCACTGGATGCTTTGGGAAACGGACACATGCAGGGAGTGGCCCGAGGACAGACTGCTCAGTTCCAGGAAAGGAAAAAACTAGAAGCAAGTCTCTGGGTTTGGTGGACAGCGCCCCTTCTCTTCCCAGCCTGCCCTGCCTCACATTCTGCTAGGTGAAGTCAGGGATGCAGGAAAGGGAAGCCAGTCCTGGCCTGGCAGGTGGGGCTGCGATGGATACATGTGGGCATGCGAGCAAGTGGTCAGCTTTTCCTTTAGCCCACAAGAGCTCCAATCCAGCTAATCCTCCTGGGAAAGCAGTAGGAGATGGCCTAAGTACTTGGATCCCTACCACTCATACAGGTTCCTGGTTGTTGTGGCCATTTGAGGAATGAACCAGTGGATGGAACATCTTTATATCTCCCTCTCTCTCTGTCTCTTTGCAACTCTGCCTTTCAAGCAAATAAATAAATCTTAATAATTTAAAAAAGCCAGTTTCTCTAGCACTTTCACTCAGCAGTGAATGGAAAGCAATATTACCCCAATTTTTATTAAGTGATAAATTTGATATTTGATTGGACCCACCCTGGCCCAAGTTTATGAGTGTTCTTCTCTGAATGACATATAAGGCAGGGGGCTGGCAAATTTGCATCAAGTGAACAGCCACAATGGGCAGTAGCTGGACCTCACCACTATGGGCCAAAGAAGAAAAATACAAAGTCAAAAATAAAAGACCCCCTCAAGCCATCAACTGTAGCATTTGGCCCCTTAGTCACCCCAGAGGACCACAGTACAAGGGAGCCTTAAATGCTCAACAGCACTGCCATGAACTTGGGTGTTGCCAGGGCCCCCTCCCTCCATCAGCTGGCCACTGACACTTTTCAACATTTCTCCAAACTTCCAAGAACTCCAGTTTCTGGGACTCCCTGCTTGCCCAGGATGTATTTAATGGAGTGATTAATCAGGGCCATGAATTGTTGTGTTTCATCTTTTTTTTTAATAATGAAAAATCCACAAGAGCTTGAAATATTCTTGGAAATACCCAGTCTGGCAAATTTCATAGATTGCTGCCACACTGGTGTGAATTTGCACACATGTACGAGCCAGCCCCTGAGTGTTGGCAGCCCCCGCCCTGCCCCTTGGCACTGAAGCACAGTAACTGATAAAGCATCAATGCTGAATGTGCACAGATGTCATGCGAACATTCCAACTGTCCTCACAAACAGAATGTGGATTAGACGTGTACAAAACATCTTGTAAACAAAAGAGGTGAGATTTTCTGTACAAAATATGCAGATTATTTTTTTTTAATCTGTAAGATGCATCATATGTCCGGCATTTTCAGAAAGTGAAAACTGTATAAAAATAAATATTCTATGTACAAACACACACATAGGCCAATCCAAGGTTAGAGGCGTCACTGCAAAACAAGAGCAAAAACACAACAGCACGCAGTTAGTCTCCGTGGGCCTGTACTCTATTTCATTTTCCTCGTGTAGAATGAGGCACAGCTTGTCCTGGCTTGGAGGGATGGGGCCTTTGGGGAGCAGAACTGGGAGCCCCAGCAGCCCTCTGGAGGGAAAGCTTCCTGAGGGTTGGGAAACCAAGTCTTAGCTCCAGGGACCCACCTTCCTCTGTCCTGGCCACCTGTTTAATGACTATGTTACTCCAGAAGGAATTTAAGATGTGGATCAGCAGGCTTCATAGTTACTTCTCCAAGTCACTGTGGCTCCTGATAGTGGCTATTCTTCCACTAAGCACAGCCATTTCTATCTGCCAACCTTTGGCAACAACTTTGCAAAGGATGTTTTTTGTTTTAAGGCATAGGGCACTGGAGGGGATCTTACTCAATACCTCTTTGATAGGCTACTGTGGGTTTAACCAGGTCGTGGGGCCCCAACAAGAGAGTGGGGGCTGCTTCTCCCTTGAAAGTTGAGTGATTACATACTTGGGTTAGGGGTCCTGCAGGTACCCAGGCAAGCAGAAAGTCCACCTAGGACCTGGGCTCTTGGTGGTCCCGTTCCTTTTGCCCAGGCCAGTGAATTGACATGATGTTGAGTATGGAAGTGCTGGGGAACATGGCAGGGGTAAGTGGCTCTGCAGCTCCTGGCATGGAGTCAGGTGAGCTGAGCACAGATGCTTCAACAGGTTGGGACCTGCATTTCTTTTAACAGGATGAGCCAGTGGTGATAGTAGAGGCAGACAAAAAGATTTGGAGCAGTGGGCAAAGCGGAGGGAGGTGATGCCTGCATGGGGCCATGTGCAGTTGCTACCTTTGCTGTTGACCAGGGTGGGCTTTCAGGCTAGCCAGTCCATGGTCTTTGGGTTGGGAGCCCCATGCTGTTGGAAGCTGTGGCTGAATGGGGTAATCTGTGGGCCCAGGCCTATGGCGTTTGATGACTGTAATGCTGGCTGGGACCAAGGCAAAACTCAAAACTCCCTATTGATGGGAAGTCTGGGAGCTCAGGAAGTGGAAGTACAAGGATGCTGTACTTGGGATGCTGAATGCATGCCCACTCTCTGCCCTGCTATCACCTTTGAGAGGGTGCCCAGACAGGCGAGCTGTGCCAGTGGGAATAGAGCCCCAGGGACACCTAGGCACTCAGGGTATGACCAACTTCTGGGAAACCTTACCTTGTTCCAGCAGCCCTGGACAGGTAGGCCGTCTTCGCCCTGTGGTGGGGGAGGGAAGGCAGAGGCTCAGACATAGCAGGAGGATGGGTCTCCAATGCGACATGGGCAGGATGGGGTTAACAAGGGCTGTACATGTGTTGGCCACTGATCAGGATGTGGCCTTCCTGTTGACTACTTCTTTGCTACATGTCATAAGCTCAGAAGAGGGTGGGGAACAAACAGGGCCATATTCCCATTGGTCAAGGTCACGTGCCGCCAACAGCAGGACCAAGGGGGGCTGGGGGTGGGCAGCAGAGGCCCTCCTGCTCTGTGATGTGACAAGGCTGAACTCTGCAGTGTTGTATGTTCACGGGCCAGTCGCTGGGCACTTGAGAGCCTCTGTAAGGCAGGACCAATGGCAAAGATTGGGTTCTTGAGTCACATCTACTAGGGAGGCAGCCCAGATTGGAGACTTCCAGGCTCCAGGGCGAAGAGGCAGCCGGGCACAGGGATTCTGGCTATAGCGAATGCTCAGTGGAGAGCAGATGGGAGTTTTCTGGTCCTGGAACAACTTCACTCCACCTCTCCCAAGCCAAGTGCACGATCTGCTCATCTCCTGGCAGGTGCTGGCCCTCCAAGTAGAAGGCCCTAGTTGCCTGAGGCTAAAAGTCACCATCTATGGCTTCCCTTGCTCCCAAAGTCCAGATTAACAACAGGTGGGACGTAGACAGGGGAACAAGAAAGGAAACAAGTGGCCACTTCTCCGGCATGGTTAATAGACAGGTGACCTGTGGACAGACGAAGTCATCATGTAAAGGGGTCAACAGATGAGCATCCTTGTTTCCTAGGGATGGTGGGCAACTGCAAGGGCAGAGGCGGTACAGTGCTGAGATTCCTGGTAACCTCCAACCCTTTCCCCTCCCATCCCACTGTATTGCAACACATGTCACACAGCTGCGGGAGGACAGGAACTTCAGCCACATTCCCATTGGCATGGGTCGGGGAGAGAGGAGAGGAGGTGGGTGATGGTGGGAAGCAGGGGAGCAGAGATGGTGAGGAGCAGGGTGGCCAAGGCTGCTGCAGGCACACGGGAGCATGCTCAGGGAAGGGAGGGGCTTGTGGCCTAGGGAAGCCAGGCTGCTGATCAGTGGGCGGGGGGGGGGGGGAACCTGTGCTTCAGGTCAACAGGCAGGAGTGTGTGGGGGTGGTCAGGAGCAGGGGCTACTCTAATGCTGACCCTGTGCTTGCTGTCTTCTACAAATGTGCGTCCCAATAAGTCCCTGATGCTCTTCAAGGGGCCCCATGGTCACCTCTGTTTTCTGCTGGGAGAGAATCTATCACTGCTATGAAAACAGGCTCTGAACGCCAGAGCTGCAGGGTACTTCTTGAACCATTTGCCTTGTCTGAAGCACCTGTCACCTTCAGCTCTTGTGCAAGAAGGCTCAAAGAACTATGGGCTGCAGGCTAGGCCCATCCCTGCCTGTAGTGGGTGCTAGGCCAGGTGGGAGCAAGCCGCAGCTGTCAGCCCTGGTGCAGGCTGGGGGCAAGGCTCCTGCGCCACCTCCTGTTGAACTAGACAATGCTCCCCAAAGGTCATGAAAAGTGGAAATAAAAGCCAAAGGAACCCAGGCCTAGTTGTTTTCATATGCATCTCCACGAACTTTCTGAGGGCCCCTGGGCATTCCTAAACAATTCCTGAGCAATGGTGACATTGCTCTCTTATTCTGCAAAGGGTGAGCCATTTGCATGGCCGGGGGTAGACACTGTAACATTTGCCTTCTGGAATTTAGGCAAAGGACAAGCCCTTCAGGTCCCAACCACCTGATCCTGAAGCACCCTCCGGTTCTAATGGTGCCACCAGGGCCGTGGTTCAGAACCCTGCCTGGGAGAAAAGGCAAAGTGGCCCCTCCTGTGGAGGGGTTCTAGAACTTCTCAGTTCACCCTATGTCTACAGCTTGCCCCTATGTCCCTGTGAAGTTCCTGGGAGAAAGGGTGAGCTCAGTCAGGCATCTCATTCAAAAGTGCCTTGTGTGCAGCCAGGCACTTGAACTAACTGCAATGCATGAAGGAAAGAAAGTCCCTGGTCTCTGGCCTGTTTTGAGAATTTGCCTGCCACTTTGATCTTGGACAGCAGTGTTGTCTGGGTGGCCGTTTCCATGGCAGTCCAAATGAGCTTCAGTGTGGCAAGGGGGGTGGACATGGAGGTGTTGTGTTTAGAAGCAGTGGCAGGAGGAGGAGGAGGAGGCCAAAAAAACATCCCAACAGACTGCATGCAAGAAAGCTTGTGGCCGGGCCGAGGTGACCCTTGGGGTCTCCTGAGTGAAGGAGCAGGAAGTGGGCCCCGATGGATGGAGTAGGAGGAGCGTGGAGGCAGGCAGGTACAAACCACACACATTGGGGAAGTCCACCCTGGCCATGCAGGCAAGAAAGGGCAATGCCATACCAATGGGCACGGGGCATCCAGTCCGTCCAGCCCTGGTAACCCTGGTTCCCCTTTCTCTCCTTTAAAACCTCGGTGACCCTGTTCACAAAATCAACCAGGGTGATTATTCAGGTCTACACTGGGCCAGCTCCGACCATGCCGTGCAGTGGAGAGGCCCTACCCTGGCCAGGATGCAGGATCCTTGTGGTACCTATAGATAAGGGCTCAGTCCCAGCGGGCCCATCCCCTCTCAAATTCAGCCTTTGGGCTGTCTGTAATTGGGAGAGTCTGGCTTTGGAGCACACACTGCTGGCTGCCCCTGCCCTGTTACAGCCTCACTTGGAGTGAACATACAGCAGCTCCAACTGCAGTGCCATGTTCAGAACCTGCAGTTAGGACACAGAGGCACGAGAGAAGCCCAGCACGATGCTGTTGCTGCCATCGACCCTGGGGGTGGGGGCGATGTATGCTGGGGGAGAAGGAGGGAGAGGCTGCATGTGCAAGTCCCGCTTCTGGCCCTCCAGAAATGCTGACACGATCTCCTGCATCCTGCCCAGGTAAGGATTCAGGGAACTTGAACTGCTGAAGCTGCAAAACAAAGAAAGCCAATGCATGGCTCCCAAGCACTGCCCTGGCTTTCCACACCAGCCCTGAGCTGAGAGCTGGGGCCTTCTCCAGAACTGCCATTCCTCGCGGTTTCCTCTCTGCCACACATCAATTGTTCTGCATCTTCAAAGGAAAGGGATTCAAAGGGAAAGGCCGCAGCAGAATGACTTGCAGCTGTGGCTGAAGGCCCACCCCACAGCAGGCCGAGTTTCAAAGGAGCAGATAGATTTTGGTAGCATCAGGGTAGCCATTTGGTTCTCGTCTTCAGTTTATTTGCCTTTTTTGTTCCATTGCGAGCCTCATGGGTAAACCAGAACAGTGTTAAACGAGACATACCAGTGGACAGGGGGCATCCAGTCCAGGCGCTCCTTGGTCTCCCTTATCCCCTTTAGGCCCTCTAGAGCCTTTCTTCCCCCGTTCCCCCTGTAAATAATGGTTTAGTCCAAGAAAACAACAAAAACAACAACATCAAAACTTTAGGATCATTCACATGTTAAGGTTTAGAGACAGAAAAAGAAAATCAAAGAGAGAAGAACAGATTCTTTTCATTTGAGAATTAGGAGTGGGAATCAGGAACTCTGTCCCTAAACACCTGAGAATTTGGCTAAGGTGGGCCAGGGGTGCAAAGGGAGACCAGGAGCAGGAGCTGTAGGGCTGCTGGTGGGGAATGAGCTCTGGAGACATTGGGGACAGGGGGTTACTAATACTGAGCCTGGAGTAGGGCTGTGATAAACAGAGTGTCGGGGCCCAGCTTCCTTCTCTGTGGAGGGTCTGTTGATGAAACCTTTGTCCCCGAAACCCGCTGACTTCAAGACATATCCACCCATGAGCAGTTCACGAGGTTGGACTGGCAAAACCACCAGATCTTTGAATGGAGAAGTGTGGCCCTTTGTGCTCGGGGTGGTGAGCAGAGTTTCCTATTTGCCCATGAGTGGCAGGAGGTTAGATGTGTTAGATTCCTACCATGAGTATCTCAGCATGGCCATTGTGCCAGAGGGGCACAAACAGTTACCCTGGTCAGGTGCCCCTCGAAGGCATTGGAGTGGTGGCTGCACCTATGTCTCTACTACTTTCCATGCTCAGGGAGTGACAGGAAAGAGGTCTTACAGAGAAGGCACAGAACAGGTGAGAGGGACTGAAACAAGCAAAGGCAAGGGCAGAGGTCTCTAAAATATGAATATGTTCATAAAATTGATTTTAGAGGAAATGTAAGTTTGCCTAGGAGAAAGAAATGGGTGAGGTATATAGGGTTATTACAGTGGGTGGGCACATCCAGTGGGCAGAAAAGTGGAAGGAGGAAGGAAAGGAAGCCAGAAGTGGTGATGGGAGGGGGCAAAGAGACAGGGTAAACCCAAGGGAGCAAGCTAGGTACACACATGCAGATGCACACAACCACACACACAAAGGTGTACACACATGCACACACGTGCACACCCAAGCCCTCTCCAGGCAGGTGGCCTCATGGCATGCTCAGGCCTTTTCAGTTGCCGGCAGCTCCAGGGGACCCCTTCTTCTCTTCCCTATGGTCACAATGCTAGATCCATCCCATTTTTATCCTTTGATTTTCTAAATCCTGTATGTGGTTCCTGGGCCAAATTCACAGGACTACTGTGGGGTGAGAGGGCAGAGCAGAGTGTTCTTTGCACTGCTGAGGTCGCCTTAGTGCACCCCTTGGTTTGGGTTCTGCACCTTGGTCCACCTTGATGAAGTCAAGGAACAGCAAAGAAGCTCCCGACCACTCTCTGCTTGCCCATAGGTTAGCACTGTTTTTTAGGCTGAGTTTTGTCTCATGGTGAGTTAGAATAAATTCCCAAAGGGGTCTTGCAGCAGGATGAAGGCAGAGTCTGGGAGCTGCTCTCCCAGGGACACCCTCCAGAACCCACAAGGAGCTGGGCTTCCTCTTCTTGGGGGACAATAAGACTCCAGATGTTGTCTTAACGCTTTCAGTATTTGACTTGGATCCGATGTCTAAACTTTGGATCCTAAAAAACTGAAAACTGTGCACAGCAGAGCCAGTGTCAGTAGTGCTTGGGTTACTCTTTGCTTTGGAGGATTCGTTATGAAGCCTCAGATGCCCTCCAGAAGTTCTGCTCAGTTGGTGGGACAAGGAAGTCTGAGTGAGAAGGGGGGCTAAGGGACTCCTGGGACACAGAGCATCCTGAGAGTCCAGTGCCCAGCACGAGGGAACAGGGGGACCCTGCACTCGGAGTCCTGCTCTGGGATCTTCATGGAGCACTGGAAGGTGGGTTTATGCAACCCTGTGGTTTTCTGAACTCGATGCATACTAAGTGACAAGTGAAGCAACTTCACAAAGTTCATGGAACTGGGAAAGCAGCTGGTAGGCTCCAGACACAGAGAAGGTAAGGAAATGGAAAGGCTTGTTTGATTGGTTCACACTATGGGTATGTGTAGAAATAGGGCACTGTACCATGTAAATGATTTTGCAGATAACAGAAATAAATAAAACCAGGGGCAGGCTTGTGGCATAGCAGAAAAAGCTGCCAGTTTGAATCCCAGCTGCTCCATTTCTAATCCAGCTTCCTGCTAATGAGAAAAGAAGCAGAAGATGGCCCATGTGATTGGGACCCTGCCACCCATGTGGAAGACCCGGATGAAGCTGCTGGCTCCTGGCTGCAGTCTGGCCCAGCACTGGCTGTTGCAGTCATCCAGGAAGTGAACCTAGTGGATGGAAGAGTTCTGTCTGTCTGATTTTCAAAGAAAGAAATCTTTTTTTTTTAACTGTCTCAAACCCCACAAAAGGTATATTTTTTAATTTAATGTTTGAAAAATTATTTTATTTGCTTGAAAGACAGAGAGAGAGAACAAATGAGCTGGAGTACCCATCCACTGAGTCAGTCTTCCATATGCCTTCAACAACTCAGGCTAAAGCCATGAGCTGGCAACTCAACTGGTCTGTATAACTGATTTTCCAATTAAAAAAAAATCTACATAGCCGTAATATTGTTTTTGCATCAAAATAAGTGGATCTTTTAATCCCATTTCCCACGGATTTTCTGAAGTCTCTTCCTGTTCCTAACTTCTCTAACGAGTTGGGGAATGTATGCCCAGACACTGGGCAGGGGAAGTGAGAGAATGTTCCTATTGAGGGCTGGCAGGCCTGGCTCAGGTGGCAACCACGACTCCTTGAGAATCAGAGCCACTGGCCCCTGGCCTGTCCTTCCAGCTGTGACGAGAGCACTTTGCTACCTCTACAGCGATGCTACCACCAGCAACAGTTGAAGGAATGATTTGGTAGTCTGCAAAGGACCTGGTGTCTGCAGCCAACTGAAAAAGCCTTCAGAGAGATAGGTTCAGAGAATACTGATGGAAGACAATCAAGGAAGCTAGAACAGTTGAGGAGTCGGTGGGAACCCAGGTTAGTGCAACGATGCAGAGGTGGGATGACCATGTTCTCAGAGCTCTGCTGCAGCTCTAAGGACTGGAACTGCTGGGCAGGGCCGGCCATGTGTCTGGAGGTAGCGTTTGCTCCAGTGGTCTCCAGACCTGCTCTTTTCATAGACACCCTGGTAAGGGTGGCTTTGCTTGCCCCCTTGCTGGCAGAATTTGTAGGGAAAGCAGTATTGCTTTTGACTACCTGCCAACAAAGAGTATTTGAGGATACAGAAATGTTGGATCCATATGTTATCAATTGAAAAGGATGCCATTAACTGGTGCCAGAGGCATACATACGGGTTCTGGTACTTTCTCTCTGGGAGTATGGTGTCTGGTTCAGACTAGAAGCCATACACTCTGCCCCCTGACTCTCCATGGGCATTCAGCGTGTGTGTGTTCCTCCCCTTTCTTCTTGTTTCAGCTCCTTGAGCTTCAACAGCCACCAGAAGGGCTTCCTGGAGCCTGCCTCACACCCTGAGAACCAGCAAGGAAGCAGCCAAGAGGGAAACCAAAGGCCCCCTCACGGTCTGATGCAGGGAAATTACCCCAAGACCAAGGCATATATCTCATAGTCTCTTGGCCATGGGGGCCATGGACATCTGGGATCCTGGTCTTGGGGAAGGTGCAGAAACCAAAGGGAGAGAGTGAGGGGTCTGTGCAGGCACAATGCATCTCATAGCCCTGCTGACTCTTTCCAAGACAAATAGCAGCTGCAATACTTTTTTAGAGGCTTGGCTGCTTACAACAACTGTCTGCTTGTACTCAGAACTAGAATTTATTTTCTCTCTCCCCGGTATCCTGGAATGCCTGGAAAAACCAAGGTTTAGAAGGCCAGGAGGAGGCCATGACATCTCCAAGTGGACACGTAGGGGCCTGCTAACAGGGCCACACAGAGCCGGAAAAGAGGCTCTCTTGGGTGGATGGTGATGCTAATCTAATAGCCACCATGGAATTTGGTGTCCCCTGATCATGTGGAAAAAGAATTCCACAGAGGCTTGCGTCCCAGACTCTCTGCCTGCCACACACTAAGCCCTTGCTGGAAAGGCTGCTTCATTGCAGAGGATTTTTCAGGGAGCATCACATGCTCATGCTGCAGCAGGAAGCCCCTGTTGGTCATTCCATCCCTTTAGGAAAATGTTAGTAACCGTAGCCCAGCGTGGTGAGGGTGTACACTCACCCGGCTTCCCTTGTCCCCTGGTGGTCCATGTAAGCCCTGCGGTGAATCACAGACAGGAACACACGTTCGTGAGAGAGCAGGAGATGGTGACACAAGCCCAGCAAGCTCCTTCCTGATGCCTGAGTTCCTGGACACATGGGGCATCACCCCCATTTTACAGAATGAGGACAAGGCAACAGAATACTCAAAGAATTTGACTTGAGGAAGATGGTGTGGTCTGGGCCAAGCCCAGAGCACAGCCCTGAGCTTCTGGCTCGGCAGCCCATGACCCTGATGGAGAGATCGTGCAGAGGGTGACCATGCTGAGTTCTATGAACCTGGTTGGGTAACACGGGATGTGCATGGTAGAGGGGTGTTCCCATAGCTGTTCCTGCCAGGTGCTTGACTCGGCAGTACCCTGGAGCTTCTTCAAGGTGCCAGTTGCTCTCCATTCTAAAGCCACAAGATGTGCCCATGAACCACTATGCAAACAGCCTGCAGATGGGCCAGGAATATAGCACAGGCTCTCTCATGCAGGTGTTCAACCTTAGAAGTGAATCAGTGGGAAAAGGGGTTGCAGGTGCCAAGCCAAATCCCACTTTTCTGCTCCCTGCATCAAGGGTGTCTGCAGTTGACTTTGAGCCTCCTCGAGGTCCCGCTGCAGACAGCAGAGGCTGAAGGCTCTGTCTTGACCACATTTGTAGGGGACCCTGGGGGTGGACGGAGAGAAACTTCCCATCCCATGAGACTCACAGGAAGCCCCGCTGCTCCCATTGGTCCTGTCATCCCGGGGTCTCCTTTGCTGCCCTGAAACAAGAGAAGGAAACCATGGGTCCTCCTTGGCACAGCCACGTTCATCACCATTTGCTATGTTGCTGGGAAAGCATGGGACCTTGGGAGCCCAGGAGCCTCTCTCCTGAAGAGCCTGTCCCCCAGGCAGCATGCTGGGGTGCTGGCACAGAGGGGGATATGGTAAGGCCAGGGAAAGCAGGGAGGAGCTCTCATTTCCCCACCCTTGCCTCTCCTGAGCCTCCCGGGACACAGGGCTACAGGGGAGGCTGCTTGTGCAGGCAGAGTTCCATGGATGCCCATGCAGGGCCTGTGCCTGAGGTGCCTTGAGCCAATCCAGGAGGACCTAATATGGAAAACTCTCCTGGCCCCTTGCCTCATCCTTCCACTCTCACCCTTGTACTTGTCCACTTCACTGTGGAGGTGTCAGGGCCTCAAGGGCCAGGAAGTGACTGGAAGTGAACCCAACATGCCTGGTCTCTGGACCTCTGGGTGCCCCTCCAGGGATTTCCTAAACATCCCTGGCATCCTGTTCTGTGCAGAAGCTCCAAGATGTTACAGAGTTGAGGTGTGTGTGGTGTCAATAGCACCCGGGGCTGTGCTAGATGGCACATGAGGGAGACCAAGGGGCAGGGGCCCAGGTGCAGGGAGCTCTCTGCCTCCCGGTGTCTCTGTTCACTCCCAGCCACTCCACAAGCATGTGCTGGGCTTGTAGCTGCTTTAGGCTGCAGTGAGAACATCCAGGGGAGGAGTGGAGTGGAAGAGAGGGGTTGGGCCAAGCCTCCTGAAGTTGAAGCAGGGACTCTATTGGGTCTGGGGTGCTCGGGCTGCAGGAGAGGCTGGCCTGCCCCTCCAATCTCACTGGGTGCTCACCCTCTCGCCCTTTGGTCCCGCCGGGCCTGGAACTCCAACTGGTCCTGGAGTGCCCTGGAGGAGGTGAAAGAGAGCAGGGATGAGGGTCCTGGCAGAAGGGCCCCCCCGGAAGCCCCACCCAACACCTGCACAGGAGTAAAGAGCCAGGCCTAGTTTTCAGGGTTGGCGAGTCGTAGGTGGGGAGATCCAGAGCTGGATCCGTGGGGGAGAGAAACCCTTTTGCACTATAGCCAAGCTCGCCAAGGCTGAAAATGCCAGAACCGTGATTTTGTCCCCTCCCAGAAGCACCTGGGAGGGGGAGGCGGGGCCGGTACTCCCTTTGCTGTCGCAGCTTACATGCAGCGGGAAGGTCTTCATGCCACAGAGAGAGCAATGGGGACATACACACAGAGGCAGACACAAGAGGTTCTTCAGCCACCACCCACCCCACTGCAGACCCATGCCCATCCCTGGACTCAGACTGCAGCCAGCTGAGAACCTTAGGTCTCCACTGCTGGCTAGAAGTGAGTTATCAGGCCTCAGGTGTTGCACCATGCTGGCCTGGTGGTGGGGTGTGTGGGGAGCTCTCCTATGCAGGGCTGGGGGGCAGGGGCCAAGGGCTGCAGTCATCAGAGCTGCGTTGCTTGGAGACAGAGCAGGGTTTGCTGTGGCAACGTCAGCCCACATCTTCCCAGCTTCCCGTGAGCAGCCTGACTGGACCCAGTATTTGTTTCAGAGTCTCCAATCACTCTGAGCACAACATGGGGTGTGGATTTGGGCTGTGGAGCTCCATGTACAGCGCTGACAGGTGGCAAAGTGCTCGTTTACTTGCCATGGAAACCAAAGGCAAGAAGATGTGACTGTGCCCCTTTGCAGCCACAAGGGGAGAGGGAAGCTGTGAGCATTACTGAGAGCAGCACCGAGGTGGGGAGAAAGGCCAAACCCCCATGTTCGAGGATGGTCTTGGCCTTGCCGTGGGGAGGTTCCTCAGCTGGTTTGAGTGTCAACTTTTCCCTCTGCGAACTCAGGTTGGGAGCGTGTGCACCTACCACCTAGTCCACTGCCAGGATTATAGGTCTGGATGCATGCCAGCATCTGGTAATGCACCTGACGCCCAAGAAGTGCCCAGTGGAAGGTTATAACATTGGCAGTGCATAACTGGTCTCCCCAAACATCTTCCTTTAAAGATAGGTTCTGGATTTTATGAGAAAAATCAAATCTCAAGTCCAAGTGAACAGAACACATGGACGTGCACTGCTCTTCTGTGTCCAAGACAGACTTAGCTCAGCCCAGCCCTGACCCAGATCCTAGGCCAGATGGGCCAGGTGGGCCAGGTGAGAGGACCAAGAGAGGTATGGGTAGGCACTGCTGAAGGCTCAAAGTCACAAAATGCCTGAAAAATTCTTGATGTGCAAAAGTCTGTGATGTTAACCGCAGTAACCCAAGGAAGGAGGAGCTCTACAAAAAGGTCACCTAGAGCAGGTGCTGCCTCCTCCTCTTCTTGAGGGCATTCAGTAGGACAAGGCCCTGTTGGGGCTCACTCCTGGTCCTTCTCTGATTCCTAATGACTTCAAGCTTTCCCTGGAATCACTGGTGAGCTGCTCTCCTGCCCCAGCACCCTCCTGGGAAGGTTTTCTGGAGTTAGATGACAACATACCCTTCCACCCTGTCTGCATGTCCTATTGCCCTTGAGTGTCATGACAGCCAGATCATGAGCATCTTGCCTTGTGGGCTGGCCTTGGGCACTTTTTGTCTGTGGGTGTGAGGGGCGATGCTGCTGATCAGGAAAGTCCGGCCTCCCAACTCTGGATGGATGACCCCTGCTACAGCACTGGTCACAGGCTGCAGCCAGCAGCTCTGTGGCTCTGGCAATCCCATGCAGCAGGGTAGAGAAGCAAGAGGGTCCTAGGAAAGGGCCTAGGAAGTGGCAGGGAGGGTGTGTTCCCCAGGTTGCTGTTGCCTGTCACCGGCAGAGGAGCCGAATGCTGAGTCAGGAGCAGGTGGTGTCTTGTCTGTTTTCTACAATCAGAAGGAATGGGGGAAAAAAGCACCCTATGTGCTCACTCATTCTGGGACACAGCCCTGGTTGGGTGTGGCTGTAATGTGCCCATGGGATGCTGTGCTGAGGCTCACCCTGCTGTTCCATGCTATGCCTGCCCTCAACCTGCAGTGCTGTCCCCACTCTGTGCAGCCCACTCTGTGTAGAAAGCCTCATGGGTCACAGCAGATGGACAGAGCTCACAGCATGGACACGATCCTGCATGATGTACTGACACTGTTGTGCTTGTTGGGGTCACACTGTGGCCTGATTGGCCAAGCTGAGCTCTCAGGGCCTGACAGAGCTGCCTCAGGCCCCTTCCCCTCCCACCCCTAGCAGGTCTCAGCATCCCTCCTCACCCCCACCGTAGTATGCTACGTGCTGTGGATCCAGAACATAGCATAGGACCCTTCTGAGGTTTGGGGGTGGGGACAAGGCCAGACTTAGAGGGAAAAGGAGGCCATAGCGGGAAGACAAGAGGGACCACAGGCAGGGTATGGGGCAGGGGATGATGGAGATGTGACACTCACCGGTGGCCCAGGCCTGCCGTCCAAACCTGATGCTCCCTGGACGAAGGGCACAGTGTGGCCAAAAGAAGGGGGAGGGAGGTATGGGATGTGGAGAAAGGGAAGAACAGGAGGGAAGAGGTGAGTAAAGCAGTGACTCCGGACAGACACAAACACCGGCCATCAAACACCACGGGAGGGACAAGCTCGGAGGACAGGCACACCAACAAGAACACGGAGACACCACAGGCAGCGGCGGGCCGCTGGGTGGGTGGCGTGGGGACCTGAGCAGGTGGCCACTCTGACCCTCCACGCCCCTCGCACCCTGCTGGGCTTTGTCTTCCTTGATAAGCCCCCTTCTGCCCCCAAGGGGCTTTGGTGACTCCTCTGGGAGAGGAACTCACAAAGGAACTCCTGGAGAGGAGTCGGGGACCAGATCCTGAGACAGGGGTGGGGTGGGTGGGTGTTATGTGGAGGGGATCCAGGTGAGGGTGGGGCCCCAGGTGAGGGTGAGCTCCCTTGTTTGTCTGCATACCCTGTTGAGACAAGGCCATGCTCGCAACCCCTGAGGGACTCAGCCCTGCCTTCTACCATCAGCTTGTGCAACCTAGGTGGGGGCTGGCTACGCTCACACCAGCAGGTAGAACGTCCTGAGTCAAGGATGCCTGCTACTCCACATACACAGGTGTGCAGAGCTCATCAATGGCTCAGCTCCTCCCTGAGCTGCCCATAAGGCCCCTTCAGGGACAAAGGCTTTAGGGTCAGTCTGTGGGGACATGGGTCCTAAGGCCACCTCCCTTCTCCTCCCCCACAAGCAGATGGGTAAGCCTTTTGCTCCTCAGCATCCTTACTTCTGGTTGTGTGAGGCACACTTGCTGGGAATGGACTCCAGCTGCAATCCTGGCTTACAAAGCTGTGCCTATGGGAAAGCTAGGGGAGAATTTACTGAAGATGTCAACTTAGCAAGGAGGTGGAAAGCAGCAGCAGAGGCTTGAGCCAGTAAGGATGGAGCTCTTGAGAGCTGCTTCCAACAGAGGCCAGGGAGTGGGGGATTGAGGGGATGCGCTGAAGAGGGGACTGCTTTCTTCTGGAGAGAGGGCGTCGCCTGAATGGTTCTACAGGGCCTGTTTCTCAGCTCTTGGACTCCGCAATGCTGAGGCTGAGCTCTGCTCACCAGGTGAGTGGCCTGTGATTCCCAACGCTGGCTGCGCACTAGTGTCTCCTGGGATGGATGTTAGGAAAGGATCGAGATGCTTAAGCCCCAGCCTGGCCTGCTTCAACTGACGGTCTCCAAGAGCAGGGACCAACTAACAACCCAAGGGAGTCTACAAGAAGTCCAAACTGAATGTGTACAATGAGGGAACTGTATGTAGATTTCCAAAACCTATTGTGCTAGAATAAGCGCATCTTTTCCACTTTCCCGTCCCTTGAGCTTCTCATACGTTTGGATCCCAGGGTGCACCCGATACGGAGAACCACATCTGTAGGGCAGATGGGCAGATAGGCTCAGTGGGATGGGAAAGCAGGGCTGTACCACGTGGAATAGAGCATGCAAGGGAACTTCAACTCAATGCCCAAACACACGTTGTCTGTGCAGTGTCACCACTGGGAGTCCCGGAGTGGAGGGCATGGGCTGGAGGCCCTTGGGCCATGTCTGAGCCTCTGATCCAGTGTATGTGATTGACCATATGGCAAACTGTTTTTGCTCTCATGCTAGAAAATGGGGAGATTTCCATTGTTCCAAGGCAAGAACCAGCAGAGCTGAGAAGGAGCTGCTCCTTGCAAAAGGAACACCTGGTTCCCTGAGTCACCCTAGTTCCTACCATTTCCTATGGGCCTCTGAAGTTCCCAGGAGCTGTCATCTACTTGTTCTGTTTCCTTAAGTAGGAAAAAACCATTTCTCTGCACCCTGCCCCCACTGACACACAAGCTGGGGACACTGTCTATCCCTGAACATCCTCTGCTGGCCTTACTTGCTTGTACCTTTTGCACGCAGCTCATGAATGAATCCTCCAGGGATCACTAGGATGATGGGGAGTGCCTTACAGGAGGTACTTGAGGGGTTAGGTAGGGCTAGGAAGACTCTTGAACAGAACAGTGAACAGTACCGGGTCCTTCTGGATACAGCCCAAGACACGGAACAATGCCTGCTCAAGTCATCAGTGTTATGTAGTCTGTTGAGTGAACCAGCTTTACAAGTTAACTATTCCTGCATTCTGTGCTCTAACGAGGCATAGGGTGAGGGCAAAACTCTACCCTTAGCTGTCTGGTTTCTGGGATTACAGGCCTGAATCAGCATCTGCCTGGCCAGGGTAGTTGGGTCTCCTATTGTCCCCTGGCTCTGTATGTCTATGCAGAGCAGGGGTCGGCCTTGAGCTGGGTGGCTGGAAGGAGCTCTTGGCCAGGTGGAAGACAGACCCTGGCCCAGCCTGGCTAACCCTTCCTTTTCTAGGGCTTTCTGGACCATGACAACTTGGGAACAAATCAGAAGCCCCTGGCTCAGCAGTAGTGAGAGAGTGGAAGCCAAAGTCAAGGGCCTTGCCACCTCTGGAAATGCAGCTGCTGCTCACCAGGGGGAGGGGCGCTGAGACCTAAGATCTCTAGGCCAGGAGCGGCCTCAGCCTGTGCGGGTCACAGAGTCTAACTTCTTGGTGTGTTTCTCTGCTGTAGCCCATGCTGAAGAAAGAAAGACTGGGGGTTCTCTGGGAACACTTCCAAGAAAACAGGAGTGGGTGGAGAATGTTCAAGACCCACGGTTCCCCAGCCTCCATGCCTGACCTGGGCAGCAGACTTGTTGAGCCCTGAAATCTGGCACATTTGGGCTGAGCCACTCCCATTGTGAGTGGTTCCTGCCTTAGGTCACTTCCCATTCCTCCAAAACCAGGATCAGGGTAGGAGAGCAGCAGGGCTTATAGGCCTGCCCAGGTTGGGGAATCAGAGCCGCAAGTCGTTTCAGAGCCCTCTCCAGTGCCCACCCAGTACCCTAGGGCCACCAGCGCCTCTGCGCCAGGCATCTTGCCAGCTGTGTTATACTCACAGGCAGTCCCAGGGGCCCTCGATCTCCTTTCTCGCCCTGGACGCCCTTCTCGCCTTTTGCTCCGTCCAGTCCTGCTTCCCCCTGGAGGAAATGGAGCCAGGAGATCAGAGGAGGGTGTGTCCCAGATGACTCCCTCCAGCCTTCTGGAGGTCCAGGGGCCTTGCTGCTGTGTAAGGTCAGAGGGAGGGGTGGAGGTGGCTGGCTTGGCATGGCCGGGCTAGAGGTGCCGAGAATCCCTTAGTTCTTATGTGGTCACTCTGTTGATAAGCATCCTCTGTGTCCCTGCGGCAACTTTAAGGTCCACAAAGGGGCAACACGACAGGTGGAGTGAGGATAAACCCACAGGGCAGTTCCTGGGGTTTACAAAGCAGGAGCCCTGCCGCTGTGCAGGCATCTGCTGGCAGACGTTAAGAACCGTTGTCACCCACAGAACCCCACGGTTCACCAGGGAGTCAGGAGGAGCATCCTGACTCCTGAAGGATGTTGGGACAGGAGGCCAGAACACAGTCACACCAGCAGTCTCCAGCTCAACCCATTTAAAATGCATGTGGGAGACAAGGAGAGTCTGGCCAGGGTGCAGTGGGCTTGGCCCTGGGCAGAGTTAAGTTCTTGTCCACCTTTCCTGGACACTTCAGAACTAGTGAGGGACCTGGGACAAGAAGGTGGCAAAGGCACTTCTCCACTGCCATGTTGTGGGGCTGATGAGTGGGGAAATTCTAAATCCAAAACAAGCTAGGTATCCATGCTGGCTGTTCAAGGGCCTGTGGGGTTCCTTCCTGGCTTCACTGCCCCTACAACTAGAACTCACGTGACACCATCTGGGCCCCTGAAGCATTGTCCCTCTTTCCTGCTGTCACAGATGCAGCCCCCCTCCCTCTCCCTCATGTGGCACCTGTTGTGTAATGTCCTCTTACCTTTGGCCCAGGAACACCTTGGAGTCCCTGCAATTGGAGTCAGAACAAAGCAGATGCATTAGAACTGCATTTTCAGCTAACGCTCTTGCCCACAGGCTGAGCATCACGGAGCTAGTGCCTGGGCTGTGCAGTGATTTGAGGTGATAAGGGAATGTTCAAGTGCTGGTTATAATTAGAGTTGCTCCTGCTACTTCTAGCAGTGATACCAGGGGCCACCCTGTGTCATGGGGACTGTGAACTAAGCAGAGGAAGGACCAGTATCTGTGGGTTTGGGTGCTTTGTTTCTTTTTTTTGGGGGGTGGGGTAGGTTCCTTTAGGTGCCTTGCAAAAGGGAGGCTCATGGTTCTATTCGTATAACCCTAGCAGATACCATGTTGAAAGGGCCATTTTCCATTTTCACCCTGGGCTTCTGTTGGCTAGGTGCAGGCAGGAGGAAGGGGAGCAGCAGAGGCCTGGCAGCAAAGGGTTAAGTCCACATAGGACAGAGCTTAGGGACAAAGGAAGCCAGGGCTGCCAGGCGGTCAACCATCTCCAGGGCAAGGGGCACCTTGGTGTCATGTGACAGTGCACTTCCCCTGAGAGGGAAGGGCACAGGAACAGCAAGGTGATCACTGCCTAAGGTGGGGGCGGGGTCCAGTGGTTGCTGGGGGACCCAATCCCAGGAATCAGAAACGCTGGCAAACTCTCCCAACTTACCGGAGCTCCTGGGGGACCCTCTGGCCCTGGCGGCCCAGGAACCTAAAAGTCAAAAGGGAGCCCTGTTAGACTCTAGGTGGACCTCCCTCCTAACATGGCCACAATGCAGTAGAGGAACTGCCAGGTCGGAGGAGGATAAGACATTTTCTCAGCTGAAAGGCCCAAGTCAGGTTGGAAACTTGGGACACCTACCAGCCTCCATTTCCTTCGAGGGCAGGTAGCAGTGGAAGAGACAGAGAAGGGCATGGCAGTCAGTGCCTAATGCAGTCAGTCTACTGAATATGGACACCCATGTCTGCGGTTGTCACTCTGCTGCTTTTTGAGCTGGGCCCTTCCCGCCCAGCTTCCTGTAGCTAGGAGGGCCTGCACCATGGGCCAAGGAGGGCAGCTCTCGCAGGGCACTGGGAGGCAGGCAGCCTCTGGTGCTTTTTGGAACTGAGGGCTTTCAGCTGTGTCTGCTCTGGCCTCTCTGTGGAGGATGTGATCTCCGCAGACTCTACTGTCCTAAGCATCCAGGCCACTGGATGACAGGTGAATAATATGTGGATTAGCCTGTGGCTGTGCATACACTCACAGTCCTAGAACCACACAAGTGTAAAAGTAATTCAGGATCATTAAATATTTTATAAATTAGAGAGAACTGCAAGAGAGAAAAACAACACAACTCTGGGTTAACCTAGCTGAAAAACACTGCTAACATATATCTGTTGTTCTATTTCCTTTCCCTTTTTTAGGATGCATATAGTAGGGCTGAAGTTATGCAGACTTGGATTTTATACACACACACATACAAGTTCACAAAGAAAAATCTGGCTTCATGTTCTCCAAAAGCCTCCTTTTAAAGCTGACATGCTATTCATTGGATGGAATGGAAATAAACTGCTATACAGCCAAGGCTGACAGTAGCACGTGGCACATGGAGGGTGCTCAGGCATGGTGACTATTATCACTGCTCGTGTTAGCACCACCAGACATTCCACCCTTTCCTTCTTGTTACAAATGTAGGCTTCCTCCAGCTTCTATGGTGAATACTTACAGAGGAACATTTGCTTCCAAAGAGTTATTTAATGTATTTGAAAGGCAGAGTTATAGGAGTTTGCGGAGAGAGACTGAGAAAGAGAGAGAGAGAAAGACAGAGACCTTCCACCTGCTAATTCACTCTCCAAATGGCGGCAGCAACAACTAGGACTGGGCCAAACCAAAGCCAGAGCCAGCACCCTGGAACCTGGTTCTAGTCTTCCATGTGTCTGGCAGGGGCCCAAGGGCCTGGGCTGTGTTCTGCTGCTTTCCCAAACTCATTAAGAGGGAGCTGGATTGGAAATGGAGTAGCCAGGACCCTAACCCATATTCTCATATGGATTGCCAACATTGCAGGGGTTGGTTTAATATGCTGTACCATAACACTGACACCAGGAGAAACATTAAAAACTATATATAGTTTTGTATTTGAAAGGTAGATAGATAGAGATGTGCAACCTGCTGGTTCAGTCCCCCACTGAATGCAACAGCAGGGCTGGGCCAAGCCAAAGCCAGGAGCCTAGGATTTGATCTGGGGGTCCCACATGGGTGGTGGGGCCCAAGGACTTAAGCCACTGCTGGTGCCTCCCAAGGTGCACTTCAGCAGGAAGCTGGATGGGAAGTGGAGCTGGAGCTCTCAGACAGGCATCGATATGGGATGTAGATGTCTCAGTGAATCAACATGGAACCAGATGTCTGCTCTGGGAGACATCTAATGTTTTAGGCTAATTTAGACTAATTTTTGTAAGAGAGTCTCCAGTTTTAAAAAAGCAATATACATATCCTGTATCAGGGCTGTTCACTAAACCAGACAGGGTGACATCAAGGGTGTCAGAAGCCAGGGGCGTGGGGGGTCTCTTCCTTAGCTGGGAGACAGGATTGTAGTTGCCCAGGCCCTGTCACCAACACCCTGGTGACCTTCCCTTCCAGTCCCCTCTCCTTCTGCCATCGTCTTCTTCCTTCTAGAGATACACTTTTCCAAGTGGTGCTATCTGGAAAGCCTCCTTGTGAAGCCACATGACAAAGGGATTCAGACCCTGAGTAGGTGGCCCATTCTCACTTGGTTCTCTGAGTAGTTGCCACTCTGCTGCTCATTCCCTGGGAAGCTGGGGGCCCAGAGGGACAGTCCAGACACACGGCAAGGGCTCTGAGAAGCTAGTAAAGATACAGGTAGGTAGGAAACCTGGAAATATGCCCAGGGTTCAGTTCCCACCCATGGCAGTGCCCAGCAGATGCTCGGATTCCTGAACTCGCCTGGGGCTGGCAGGTGCCAGTCCCACCCCAAGGCACAGGAACTCTGGGCATTCTGCAGTGACTGATGTCCGACAAGGCCCCACAGGAAGAGCTACCTACCTCTGCTCCTGGGTCACCCTTCTCCCCAGCTTGTCCTTTCTCTCCCTGTGGGCACAAAACACCACACTGTGACTGCCAGTACCTGGAGAGTTTGGGTACAAACACACTTCACATCTGTGACAAACTGGGTTGGAAGGTGACTGTCTCTAGGTTGTCAGCAGAGAGCAACCCCGGGGAGGTGAGTGCCTGTTGGACAGCAGACCGAGGCAGGTGCTAGAAAGGCTCGCTGCCCTCCAGCCCACAGGTCAGGCTGGTGCCTGGTGTGGACCCTCCTGTGGTGCCTCTGGGACTTGGTTTCAAGCCACAGTGCAGGGCATGTGCAAAGGTGATGGGATGTCACTCCCTTGAGCATGCTACAGATGACCAGTACCACTGTACAAAGAACATCTATCACAAGATGAGAGTTGTTCCAATGTTACACACCTTGGGTCTACCTTATCAGTACTAGACTCTGCAGGGACCCTCTATTGGTCCTGGCCTTGGCTGCTCAAATCGGATCTGCTCACCATGGAGAGTACTGTGTGGCAGGGAATTGAAGGTGGCCCCTTGGAGCTGGGGGAATTCAGTCCTACCTGGCAAGGAACTGAGTAATGCCAAGAGCCAGGGAGCTTGGAAGGGGACGCCAGGTGCAGGTGAGAACATGGGCATCTGCACTTGCATCACTGCCTCCTCAGGCTCTGCAGAGAAGCCTGGGAGGGCATGCTTGGGCCCCGGGCTAGGAGACGCGTGTGTAAAAGGGCCTTTGAGTCTGTCAGGATGCCGGGGACTTGTTACACAGCAATAGGAAGTAGATGTGGTTCCAGAGGCCATGGTCTCCATGGGGAGAGGAGGCCAGCGGGGCACGGCTGGCCAGGAATTCCCCAGGCTGCATGTGGGAGCATCCCACCCCACTGGAGCTGCTCCACCCCTCCACTGAATGGATGCGTGGGAAAGCTGGGAACTGCCTGCTTGCTGTCTCTGCTAGGTAAGATAGCCATGGTCTGGGGGGGGGGGGGTCACATCTGTACTGGCTCGCCTCTTTATCTCTTGCCACTGAATCTGACCTCAGCACCTTTGAACCAGGCTGGTGCCGGAGGACAGAGGCCACAGGGCTGTGAGCTGCTCCTTGGCGGAGGGGGAACAGGTGCAGCCCCCCTGCAGCACCAGGCACCCCCAGGCTGGTGACCCCAGAGCAGAACACTCCCACGCGTGTGCCCCTACCGCCCAGCCCTCTCGCCTTACTGTAACTCCCGGGAGCCCGATGGGGCCAGGCAATCCTGTCGCTCCAGGCCTGCCCTGGTCACCTGGTTCTCCTTTCTCCCCAGTTGGGCCGTCTAGACCCTGCAGATTGGCAAAGTTCTCTGTTAGTCAAGCTCAAAGCTATCCTGTTGAGCATCTGTGTCCACTGTGCATGCGCCTACGGCTTCCTTATTCCAAGTCCAGGGCACAGGTGGAGGCCCGAGGAGCCCAGAGGAGGCTCCTGAGACAAGTAGGTTGTCCTGTGGGATGGGCTGAGGCCCCCTCTCTCACACATGCACCATTTCCAAGGGCGAGGCTCCTGTATGCTCTCCAGAGGTATCCAAGGGTTACTGTCCCATTTCAAAGATGAGCAAATGAAGGTTCTACTAAGCCCAGTCAGTGACTTTTCCCAGGTCACAGCGAGGACTTAGATCTCCTGAGTAGATTCTGGCCTTCCCAGGGTAGCCTGGTGGGCAGGTACCAAGCAGGGCCCCTACTCCTAATCCTGGCAGATGGCTCTGGGCAGCCATTGGGGTTGTGCAGAGCTGGCATTACATGTGTGGGCCATGCACAAGGGCCAGGAGCTGTGGCACTCACCGGTGAGCCTGCTGGGCCTGGTGCCCCTTTCTCTCCCTTCTCTCCTGGGTTCCCTGGAGGGCCAGTGTCTCCTTTCGTTCCTGAAGGTCCATCCTTTCCAGGGGGGCCTTGAGGACCAGGGGGGCCCATGTCTCCTGGCTTGCCACGAGGTCCCTTGGGAAGACAGCAACAGTATTTTTCAGACACACAGATGAGGGAGAGGAGAAGGAAGGAGAATGGAAAAAACTGGGGGACCCAGGCAGTTGGGGTGGGGAGCCCTTCCCAGCCTGACCTACCTGTTTCTCCTTTAGCCTGTGGGATGGGGCTCTGTGGGTCTTGGAAGTGTGGGTCCCTCTCTCACTCCTCCCCTTCTTGTGCCATGGGACTCACAGCGGGGCCTGTTCCACAGCCTTCCTGCCCACCCCTACCCCAACTGCCCAGTCCTAGCTGAGGACCAATGAACAGAACTGTCTGGAAGGGTCTGTTCTCACCTTCTCTCCATCATGTCCTGGAGGGCCTGGTAGTCCAATCTCCCCCTGTAGCCAGAACAAATATAGGCAAGTCTCACTCAGGGCAGACACAGCACTGCCCGTGGGCCAGGGGGCCCCTGTGCTTAGCTGTACTCGCCTGCACCATTTTCATTGTGGGCCAGTGACAGGGGCATGTAGCCAAGGCTCCTGGGATCATTGACCCTGGGGAACTAGGAATTGCATCCAGGTCCCGTCCATCCCTGGCCCACCTGCTGCTTCAGAAGGCCCTGAACAGTCCAGGCTCCTTGTCAGCTTGAATCCAGACACCATGGACAGCACCCTCGCCTGCATCCCCACCCAATCTCTTCTTAGGTCAGGATAGGCATTGGGGGAGGCTTGGGGGAAATGCTGAAGGTGCTGCTGCAGGGAGGAAACAGCGGTGATAGATCAGGGGCAGCTTCTAGGAGGAGGCGGCCTTTGAGTTGGGCTTGAAATGCTGACAAAGGCCTGGAAAGGTTGGACTTTCCAGGTAAGGTGACTTGCAGGGAAAGGGGTATCCTGACATCCCGAGCAGAGGACAGAGCACAGAACTGCAGAGGTATGGGCTCAAATGCCACGCTTCTTGGCCTAGACCCACCATAGCAGAGGGTGAAGGCAGGGGGTAGCCAGGATGGAGGCTGTGGTGGGAGCACAGTGGGATGCGAGGGCTGGGTGGATGACAGGGCAGGGTAGGGTTCAGGTGGGTGAGTGGGGTTGTGTTCCAGGATGAGTCTGGCCTCACCTTCTGGCCTGGGGTCCCTGGAGCTCCGGGTGGACCGATCTGCCCAGGAAGACCAGGAGGACCCTGGGGAGAGAAAGAGCAAAGGTACCTGAGAGAACCCTATGGCTGAGCAGGGTGGTCCTATAAAGAGGGCTGATGGTGGGGCTGGCCTAGAGGGTCAGCTACATCATACATGCCTTCAGGGCTAGGAACTTGCAATTACAAAGAAAATGTCATGGGGACCCCAATGTGTCAGCAAGTAAGTGGCAAATGTGTTTGGGGGTAAAGCCAAGAGAAGCCTGACAGCTGTGGCCAGCAGCTTCTTGCTCTTCATCCTCACTCAAGGATACCTGTAGAAGTTTTGGGGACCCCCAGGAGGTGAAATAGAAATGCATCTCGCAAACCACGCAGGTGTCTGTCCGTGGGAGAAGGTGCAGTGTGTTCATGTGGCAGGGACCTGGGGACAGAACTCTGACACTTCAAGGAAGGGACACAGCTGCATCTCAGACATAGCAGTGGGAGCCAGAGAAGCTCCATGGGGCATCAGTCCATCCCACGAGACTCTGCAGAGGGCACAGTCCACATGCAGTGACAAGAGGCACCACAGCGGTGGCCAAGACTGTGGGTGGCTGCAGCCCTGACTGCTGAGGAGCCCACAGGGACTCTCTGGAGTGACCAGGGTGGGCGTACCTGTGTCCACACTCGCCTGAAATGGGCACATAGCATTGGACCTCAGTCGATTTTAAGAGGAGAATGTCTCCAGGCATGTTTTATTTCCAATGATACATATGAGTGTCCCCCAGCAAAGCTTATGGATGATCCATCTGGGACTGGGGTGTGACATACAGTGGGGTGACTGGTTCTGAATTTGCCAGCCCTGGGATGTTAGTTCTTGCCTCCATGCTGCCCTCCTTGGCTGCCAGCCCCGAGCCCCTGGGAAAGCGAGGAAGAGGGGAGGACTTACCATCAAGGCCAGTGTGCGGATCTCCTGAAAAAGCAACAGCACTCAGTCAACTCAGTCAACCAAGTTCCCCTTGGTGGGACAGAGCCCTCCAAGCAGCATGAGGTGGGAGAGCCTCACTTCCTGCTTCTCCTGCCCAGAGATCACCCAGCACTGGCTCAGCTGCCCGCCCACCCTGCACCGCCTACTCTGCTGGATCCCCCCTTCCTGGTCTTCCCTCTTCTCCCACAAGCCAATGTCAAGGTCTAAAAAGACTCAGCGTAGCCACATACAGGATGTTTTTTTGGGATGACTGCTGGCTTTGGGACAGGAATCTTACACCTAGGGAGTGGGGTTATAAATGTACCAAGAGCGATTTTGTCCTCCAGAGGGCATTCATTCCCATCTGGAAGCACAGAACTACTCAGCTAGTGCCTCATGCTGCACAGCCCAGCCTATCCACCTTCCACACTCACCACTGCCCAGGTGGAGAAACCTGGCCTAAAAGGTGGGGAGCTCGTGAGCTTGAGAAAGGATTCCACTGATGCCAAAGAGGGGTGAGTGGGTTTGTGATTGGCATAAGTAAGGCTTGTGAGCCCTGCATGGGTTGGCACCCTGCAGGATGCCAGGTGGCTTCCAGAGCCGGGATTGCTGGCAAGCTGGGCGAGGACAGGAATCTAGGCTTCCTGGACACCCAGTGACAGGGCTCACTAGCCTGGAGGCTGAGCAGCAAGAGACTGGAGGAGTGACATCAAGGGTGGGCCCTCTCCTGGCCATCAGCTGCACTGAAAAGCTGAGGGCCAGCAGCACCCTCTCCGCAGGCCTCTCACCTCTGGGGGATCCCCCCTTACCTGGAGTGCCTCACTGATGTTGCCATTGTAATCCACCATCTCGCCTTTCCCTGGCTCTCCCTTGGAACCCTGCAAGGCAAACCAGTGCTCACCCCAGAGCTGGGTAAGGGGCCTGAGAGCTGCTTACTCCCTCTCCCGTGGAGTCTGCAGCTCCCACTGGCTGCACCTGCCTGCATACAGGGCATCCTGAGCAGCTGAAAGGGGTCCCTGGCTGGGAGCCCGTCCACTCAGGAGATGCAATGAGGTATTGCAGAATGGAGACACCTCCCATGGAGCAGTGTAGACCGGTTGAGTCTGCACAGCACAGTTGCCATGGCAGCCCCCAACTTGGGGCCTTACCCATTGCCCTCCAGACCTCAGGAGCTAAACCATGCTGTGGCTCTGGGTAAGACAGATGTGGGCCTTGCTCCCCATCTGCCCTGGGCTGGGTTGCAGGGCACAATCGGAGTGAGCTGGGCTGACAGACCTGGGGACAGGGCACCTGATGTCTCCAGCTGTGTCACATGTTAGGTCTATGGAGTCAGAGTGGGAGTCTCATCTGGGCTCGGCCAACAGCCCATTGATCTCTTGTCACGGAGGAGCAGATACCACCTCTCCAGGAAGCCATGCCTGTCACCTGCCATGTTTCCCTGGCCTGGGGTCCTCTGAGCTGCCTGCCATCTCCCCTGCATGTTGTTCTCTTTGCCCTGGATTAATTGCCACCCTCTGTCCTCTGGCCATCTCTCCCTAGTCCCAAGTCAGCTACTTGCTTGGGCCTGGGGGCCTCCACCCTTGCTTTCTTTATGTGCATTCTGTTCAGGTTATCAGGAACCCTAGCATTTTGCCCAGGGCCTGGCTGGTCGATAACTGTCATGGGGATCTTCAAGTTCTTTTGGAGTTCACCCTTTTGTAAAAGACTCTAACTAAATGTGGGTGGGGGGCAGGTATGGTTTCAGGAGGACACTGGTGTGGCGATACCCAATCCTCCAGAAGAGGGGTATTTGTTCCTGGTGCAAATACGATGGTGGGGGTGGAGGGGACAGGGAACAGATGAAACTGAGGCAAACCAACTACAGTTCCAATGTTTCTGGGGTAATGTGACCAATTGAAGATCCTTTAAAAAAGAAAGTAAGAATTAAGGAAAAACAAAAGTTTGGGTTCACTGGTGGCCCTGCAGTTAGCAGACCATGGAACGTGAAGCTGCTGCTACCTCCAGCTAAACTGCCCTCTCAATTCCCCCACCTCTCCCCACAAGGCACTCACATCATGGTGTGCCTGTGAGGGACACAGTAGCCACTCATGGCTGGAGAGAAGTGAGACTCCCACCTGGACCAGAGGCTTGGGAAACTGCCAGGAGCCAGGGCTCTGGGTCACTCCAAATATCCCATCCCTGGGCCAGGCTGTGCACACCTGCTCTCGCATGGGGTGGCTTTCTAAAGCCCAACCCAGCCAGGAGAGCTGGAGGCCAGTGCTCATGTCCACAGCCCTAGGGATGGCCCACACAGGTTCTCTGAGCAGGGGCGTGGCTTTCAGCTGACTTGGCTTTCTGCAACTCTTAGTTGTGGGAACCCTTACCTTTTCTCCTGGCAGTCCTGGGGGGCCGGCCTGGCCAATGACACCTGCTTCTCCCTGGGCAAGAGAACAGAGATGAGATAAGGGCATGCAGGGCAGCTGGGACAAGCTGGTCTCACCACTCGTAGTCTGGATGTCTTTCCTTCTCTCCCAGCTGGCATCTACTAGCTCCCAACTATCCCACAAATCTGACTCACCCCAACCCTACGCCAGCCTGGGTCTCACCTCCTCTGGAAGCCTTCCTTACTACTTCCCTTCCCCCTGAGTTTTGTGCCATCCTCTGGAGTAAACATGGTCCTGCCAGCCTCTCCTCTATCCTTGGTTAGCACACATGGCCACTGTAGCTGCAGCCCCACCTATACTGTGCACTGTCACCAGCATGACTTGTTGAAGGTGGGGAGCAGGTCATTTGGGAACTTGCAGTCCTTGAGAAGAGACAGCCTTAGTCCCTGCCTGAGTGATGGGGGGAAGCAGAAAGGCCAGTGCCTGCTTAGTGGATCTCTGCTGGGGAACACAGCCTTCAAGATTGCTCTGTTATCTCAGGATGCAGCATGGTAGTGACCAAGATAAGTCAGATGCCCTGTAGGGGTGAGCCTGGGTGGCAGGGCTGCCTTGACAAGGCTGAAGCTCAGGCTGGGGAGCTCCAGTCATATGGGGGTAGCCTGAGGCCCTTCTGCTACTTCATCTGGCTTCCTCTCATTCCTCTCATGCTCATGTACCCCTGCTTGGTTGTGGACAGACAGGCTGCGAGGAGCTTCCCTGTAACCTATGTAGGGGAACGGAGGAGTGTACTGCCTCAAACCAACTCATTCATGGGGTACCCGTGTCATGGTGCAGCAGATTTAAACCACTGCTTATAATGCTGGCATCCTATATCAGAGGTGCCATCTGGTGTCCACCTGCTCTGCATTCAATCCACTCCCTGCTAATGCACCTGGGAAGGCAATAGAGAATGCCCCAATACTTGGAATCCTACAGCCCACTGGGAGACCTGCATGGAGTCACAGGCTCCCGGCTCTGGCTTAGCCCAGCTCCAGCTGTTGTGGCCATTGGGGGAGGGAAGCAGAGGATGTGCTACTGAAGCACACTGGGCAACATGGAAGGTAGCTGCTTTGGAAACTGAAGTCTCCCCATGGCAGTTTCTGGCCAGTGAAAGGAATGTGAGATGGTCCCCTTTGGAGCTGCCCCTTCTCTGCAATGGTCCTCCCGGCCTGCCAGCTCCAGTTGGGGCCAGTGCTTAGACCTACATCCTCCTTAGCCAACACGAGGCTATTGCAGCATCTCCACCTGAGTCCCCGGGGCTGTCCAGGTGCTTGGGGAAGGCACCCTTCCTGGAAGCAGGAGCTCCTGCAAGAACTCACATCCCTGAATCAGGGGGAGGCTGCAGGAGGCGGGAGCTCGGGACACAGATCTCCTGAGGACAGAGACCTCAGGAAAGTATCTCCCTGGACACCCCGACCCCAGCAAGACTCACCTTGGGCCCCGGGGGTCCTGGGAGCCCTGGAGGGCCGGGCTCCCCCCTGCCTCCTCCAATAGAGTTGCCGGCATCGCCTTTCTCTCCCTGTGGACAGAAGGGACAGTTAAACCACAGTCTCCACTAAGCTTGGGGATGCAGAGGGCTCTCCAGACCCCAGGGTGGCTGGGACCAGAGGTCTTCAGAACTCAGCCTGGCGGGACCTTGCAGTGGCAGAAGACAGGGAGGAGCTGAGGGGGGATCTGGGCTTATAGCTGTGCTTTTTAATGTGTGTTCCACAGAACACTGCTCACAGGGCTGGGCCTACTGGAAACACATGTTCAAAAGTGTGGTCCCATGAAGCTCTGTGTCCCCTTCCTGAACAGTGCGCTGTGTTTAGGCAGGTTGGGGTGCAAGAGCTTCCTGGCAGCCTGTGCTATGCAGCTCGCCCCAAACCTAATCGACTTCAAGGCTTTTAAAAATATATAATACAGGGGTTGATATTGTGGCACATAGGCGTAAGGCACCACCTGCTCAACTTCCAATCCAGCTCTTGGCTAACGAGCCTGGGAAAGCAGTGGAGGTTGGCCCAGGTGTTCAGAGCTCAGTGCTCAAGTGAGCAACCCAGGCAGAGTTCCTGGCTCCTGACTTTGACCTGGCACAGCTGTGGTCATTGTAGTCATTTGTGGAATGAATAAAGGGATGGGAAATCTCTCTTCTGTTTGCAACTCTTTCAAACAAATAGGTACATCTTAAACTAAGAAAAAAAAAAGCAACGTAACCCTGTCCCCTTACCCACAGGGAATGTTTCAATGGGATGTTACCACGTGGACGGTTACCAGCGGATGTTGGTAGCACCACACTCTGTCAGAGTACAGTCTGTGCTCCCCAACACCTATACACCTGACAAAGCTCAACTATGAGGGCGGTACAGTGAGAGATGAGTAGCAACAACAAGAATAAAGCAGAATGCAACAAGGTTCTTTAACTAGAGCCAAACACAGTCTCTAATGTATCAATTCCTCATGCGCTCAGTAGTATTTCTGAACTGCAGCTGATGACGGATAACTGAAACCGTGGAAAGCAAAATCGCAGACAGGGCAACTACTGCGCCTGCAGGCCGGGGGATCGTAGGGCCCACTTTCAGGGCTGGTATAAGGAGCTCCAACCACTTACTGCCAAGTTCTTTGAATGCAGGCTTTTTCCCTCCTCTTTTTTTAGTCAATCAAGACTTATCCTGTGACCCTGCCCCAGCTCCCAAGTAGCATCTGGCTGTCACAGCCCCTGCCCCACTATGGGAGGAAGGACACAGACGGTACGCCCTCCCCACAAACAGTTCTTCCATACCTACCTTCTGACCAGGGAGCCCAGGGGAGCCTGCAGCCCCCTTCTCACCCTGAGGAATAAACAGAAAGGGTAGGGTAAGCAATGCTTTCTTGGGATGCTCATTGACCTGGGACCATGGCCTTCCTCATTCCTGCCTCTCCCTGGGTCCCCATTGAAACCCTTTCCTGCTAGGGGTCCCCTGCACCACTGCTCTTACTGGCCCCAGGCAGAAGGGCAACACTGGGTAGCAGCGTTCAGTCCCTCCTGGTGCCCCGGGGGCGATGTGGGAAGCTCTTCCTGGGTTGCACCTGCACCATGCGCAACATACCAGGAGGAGGACTGCGAGCTGTCTGCCTCCTGCTGCCTTGAACTGTGTCTTCCCCACCCCAGCCAGATGGAAATGCCAGCGTTCTCACTGCCAGTACCTTAGGATGGGGCTTCTTTGCAAATACGGTGGTTCTGGTGGGGGGGGTCCTGATTTGTTGTGCTGGGGACACCCGGATGCTGCTTCTATAAGCCAAGCACAAGCGCCCCAGGCAGGGGGCAGGGACTGTGTCCCACAGCCCTCAGGAGGCACCAGCCCTGAGGTTCGATGCCTTGCTTTTGTACTTCTAACCTGGAGCTGGTGCCACCCAGCCCAAGGGAGCCTGCATCATAGTCCGAAACCTTTGCAATTATGTCACACATCAATATGGCCTGGTAGCCTAGGTGGCTGAGGTGGACTTGGAGTCTGCGATCATGGTGCTGGGTGCTGGGTCAGGTTCTCTCACAGGGGCATCCGAAAAGGAAGTGGCCCACACAGAGAAAGCCACCTTGGTTCCCTCCGTAGGAAGCCATCCATCTGGGCACCCTGGGAGCCAGCCTGCCACCGAGACCTGGTATAGCCATAATTACCCCCAAAAGTTCTATCCCACAGCACAGCAGCCCCCAGGCATATGGCAGTGCTTACACTGGGCGCCTTTCTGGCAGCCACTGCAGATTAAAGGAAGCTGAACAAACCCACTGCACTGTTGGCCGTTTCAAAGTGCAGCCTACACAACTACATGTAGCACACGGCACCTGGGCCCAACGGCATCTGGCGAGGTCACAGGCAAATGCTTCAGGCTTGCAGTCCATGCCCTGAAGGGCCATGTGGTGTGGCTCATATATGTCCTGTAGATTTGTCACCTAATGTTCACACCCAATGTTTGTACAAGAAATGGCCAGGTGAGGTGTTTCTCAGAACATGCCCCCCACACACACTAGGTAAGAGGTGCAGGACTGTCCAGGGACCCTGGGGACACAGCTTCAACAAATGCACCTGGCGGGGACCAAGTTCAGGCTGTAGTAAGCAGGCATCCCATCAGCAGGGTTAGTATTAGGTCGGCAAGACAGCCCAGATGCCCCAGCACCCAGGAGCCAGGCTCTTCCATGTCACTAGTGAGCTGGGAATCCTGAGTCCCTGCTTGAGCAGATGATAATGTACTTGCCAGCTACAGCCAGAAGATACCATGCCAGGTCTCTGCATGTCATTTCCTTGCCTCCTGCCCTTGGGGAGAGCAGGTGGTAAAACAGGCAGAGGACCGGCCGTGGGAGATGAAAGGGGGTGGTCCTGGTGGGGAGCACAGTGAGGCCTGAAGAGACCCCGCTGTCCTGCTGTTGCCTGGCTGCTCCTGGGCTGTGCCTTGGCTGAGCATCTCCCACATCTAGGCTTGGTGTCAAGAGCAAGGACACCTGCCTTGCCCTCCAGAGACCCAGGAGGAGTAAGTGTCGAGAAGGCAGCTTCCTCCTGCAGGGCTCTATGCTGTCAGCAGTGGCCTCTGGGAAAGCTTTGCTCCTGAAGCCTTGCTAGGCCATCCCACACCATACTCTTTCTGGGACACACACACACACACACGCATCCACACTAGCTGGCAGGCCACCCAACAGCTACGATGCAGGGAGACCAGGATGAGGGATGCGTGCTTAGTACGTGGCGTCCTACCCTCTGCCCTCTTGTTCCCAGCAAACCTGGGGGCCCCGGCTTCCCTGTGGCTCCTGGGTCTGCCTTTGAGGGAAGAAGACAGTCACCAATGAGAAGATGGGGTGGGGGCGATGGCAGTGACTGCCTGATGGTGTTTCTGGAGTACTTGTCCTCCGAGAACACACTCCACCCAGGTCAAGAACGAGCCTGGACCACAGAAGCTGCGCAGGGCATCTCCTTCTTGAGTGCCGCTCCATTGTGCAGGGCCTGTTAAGAGCTCTGAGAGGTGGCAGCAAAGAGACTTGGTCCTATTTTTCAACCCCATATTTTCCAGATGCCTCCAACCAGTTTCCATTTCTAATGTCCTTGATGGGGATTGGTGAGGTGGGGAGAGAGACCCATGGGGACAGGGACCCATGGGGACAGGAAACAGCAGCCGCTGCTTGTTGCAACCCAGGTATGCAGGCCAGGGGAGGAGGTGGTGTTCGTGGTGAGCTCCAGGCAAGCTGGCTCTCAGCTGCTCAGCCAGGCACCAGACTCCAGAACAGACTCAGGGGGACTGAGTGCAAAACAGCAGCTTCCTCCTCCATCCCTGCCCCCACCAAGCATTGCTGCACACAGGCCAGAACATTCCCTTTGCAACAGTACCTTGGCTCCTGGGCTGCCTGGCTCACCCTGTGTGGACAGAGAGAGAGAGAGCATCACATGTATGTGTGGGGGTGAAGCATTGGGCCGGGCTGCCTTCCCTCTCCCAGGTGAGGGCTACAGCAGGTGTGAGCATGACACGGGAGGGGAAGGTTGAGTTCTGGTTCTTCCATGTGTGTGACCCCACCCCATCTGCCTTCCAGTGAATTCAGACAAGGACTGCCACGGTTGTTTGGAAACTCAGAGCGGCTGGATTCCAAAGTGAAAAGGAGAGAGCTGGGTCCTTGCAGACAGGCCGCCTGGCGAGCCCTGGGCTGGGATAGGAAACTGCTGGTCCAGCAGCTCCTACTTCAGGCTGTGTGTGGGCAACAATGCCACTATGTAAAAGATGTTCCAAGAGGCAGCTGCTGCTCCTGGGGGCGGCAGTTACCGCATCGCACCGCTGCAGCCCCTGCCCTGACCGGGGGCCTTAAAGCATTCCACTGACCTTCATCCCAGCCACGGCGATCCCCGGAGCTCCCTGGCAGAGAGGGAGAGAAAGACATGAAGGCTTCGTGCAGTCAGAGGCAGCAGGGCAGGGGTGGGTGGCCTCCTGGTGGGCAGAGTGAAGGACATACCATCTGCTGCCCAACCCCTGGGGACTCTCGGCTGGCCCTGCTCCCCTCCCTTGGCTGCCTGCCCACTTGCTCAGGCCCAATGGGGACTCGGGACTGCTAGATGGGGCGAGTGGATATCCCTGGCAGAAGGGTCTCCTTATGAGGAAGCCTGGGAGTAACCCCTTCTTTCATAGCAGCTCAAGGCCACTTCCTTGAAGGTCAATTCACTTCCAAAGTGCTACTTAGCAAATTCCAGGCCTAGGTCATCTGGGAAGAGTCCTTTCTCCCAGTACTCAGGACCACAGGCTCAGGGGGCTGCATTAAGACACTGATGGGAGACCCACCTCTCAGGGGGCCCCTGGCATAGAAGGGCATGGAAGGGCAGGTGGGGAGCAATGGAAGAGGGTCACTTCCTACCCCCCAGCAGGGTACAGAAAGGACAAGGTCCATGCAGCGAGGTGGGTGCTGAGGGAGGGGCCCAGTGGCTCTGCCTAGGGCATGGGTGGCGAGAGAGGTACCTTGGCTCCATGTTTGCCTGGCATTCCCGGCATGCCCCGTTCTCCCTGGAGGAGGAAACAAGAGAGAGGGTGAGGAGAGGCACAGACTGTAGCCTGTGGCCCTCGGGAACAGCTTGGCTGGCAGCCTGAGGATCTCTGAGGATCCTGTCCTAGGAGGCCAGTCCCCTTTGCTGGGTGAACCTGCAGGACGGCTTGGGGTGCTGGTCCCAGGGCAGGGAGGGTCACCAGGGATGCGAAAGGAGAGCTGGAGGTCTGTTCGTGGCTCCGAGTCTAGTGAGGCTGCTGCCACTCTGTAGCTGGGCTGGGCCGGGAAGTTGGCACCGTGGGGCAGGCTGGCAACAGTGTGGCCATGCATTCACTGCACACCTGCCCGCATCCCCTTTTTACTCCAGCAGGCTTGCTAGGACATCACTTGCTCTTCCCTGCCTCTTCTGCCCATGTGCCCAGGTCTAACTCTTCCCAGGGGGCGCAGGGGGTGGGGCTTGGCTGTGCCCTTTCTTTCCATCTATACCCTCGGGTCTCTGGGCTGCGGTTTGCTCCACCCTCCCCCATGCTGCCCCCACTTGATAGTTAACCTTTCCACTCCAGCCCAGGAGAGGGGTGAGGTCTTGAAAAGAGACACTGGGGTCTGGGACCCGCAGGGGTGTGTGTGTTGGAGATGTGATCAATGTACAAGGGGGGGTTCAGTCAACAGCACTCAGCGTCAGCACTGGATGTAGCGCCTGCAGGCAAGGTCTACTTGCGGCCAGCAGAGGGCGCCGCAGGACCTTACCTGAAGTCCGCTCACCATGACACAGGGCATCACGGTTCCCAGAGGACAGGACAACCTGCCCAAGCAGATGGAGGCCCTTCCAAAAGGAGTTGGGTGGTGGTGGTGGGGGGGCGCAGCTTTGAAATCTCTGACTGTTCATCCCTTTCTTCTGCCTTTTCTTCACATCCCATCATGACCCTATTTTCCCCTTCCCACTTCTACAGAAGTAGAGCTGGGCTGTGGCATCACAGACAAGCCGCTTTCCCTCTCCAGGCCGGCTACTTAGCGGTGGAGTGCCGGCAGATCAGATAGCTGCTTCTCAGGTCTTTCTGGGAGGGAGGCCAAGGATGCACAGGGGGACAGCTCCAGAGAACAGCTCTGTGGGGTGCCTGCTCTCCTCCTTCCCAACAAGAGAAGCATCCTGTGGCTGAGAGAAGTTTCTGTCTCCAAGCCTCCTGAGACTGCCAACCACAACCCCAGGGAGCCACCGTCTGCAGGCTAATTGGAACTGACTTGGGGAAGGCAAAGACAGAGGCAGGCCATGTCCCTCACCCCCCCGGGGGACAGAGGGGATGGGCCCCTGGGAACCAGGGAGGGAGGCTGCCTCCTTGTTCCGGTGGCTGACCTCTGCCTTGCCCCCCTCCCTTCTGGGTCAAGTTGCTTAATTCCACCATGACCCAGGCCCCCTGGATCCCAGTGGTGGGGACAGGAAGCAGGGCAGCCCGGCTGCCCCACCCTGCAGCTCACTCCACTCTCATTAGTCTCACTCCTCTGGGCTCTTCTCCTGGGCTTGCCCCGCCTGACCTCTGAGCTTCTCCCAAACGAACAGGCATCCATTCCTGGGCTGCGGTGGGGGAGGTGGGAGAGGTCCAGGGTCATCGCCAAGGGCTCCAGACGTGGTGGGCTGAACACATTTGCATTGGCAGGGGGAGGGTGACAGAGCTGGAGGTGATGCGTCTGTGCCCAGAGCTGCCCCAGGGACACACCTGGTGGGGGGTGCAATACCTCCATGCAAATACACTCCTTTCTTTTCCCCTCTGCGTTCTCCTGTCTAGAGAGCATCCCCGAGGCCCCTTCAGGGGCTGTCAGTCTGCAGATCTGGGCCAGGCAGTGATTTGGGGAGGGTTGGGGATGCTGGCTTTTTAACCATTGCGCCAAGACACACTGCAGATGCAGATTGCTAAAACAGCACAGGTGGGAGTTTGCTACAAGGGGGACGAGGCAGGGTTGCCTGTCCCAGCCTGACTCTATGTCTGCCCCTCAGCCCCCAGCAGGGCCCCTGTACCTAGGCTCACCACACCATCAATAGCTCCTCTATTCCTGCCCAATTTATGGGGGCTTGGAGAGGTAGGCATGATGGATGGATGCATGCATGGATGGATGGATGGATGGATGGCGCTTCCAGAGCACAAGCCGGCAGTGCTCCCATCCTGTGGGAGGGGCCTCCTAGTTGGAGACTGACAGGTGAACAAACTGGGCAGGTGCTTGGTAAGAAAATGCAATCAGAGAGGAGGTGAGGGCTTCAAGGTCAGCTCACTAGCCATTCCAGGGTCCAGCCAGGGAGATGAAGGGCTGGGGCTCCCTCTGCAGCCAACCGTGGTCTGTCTGGGGAGGGCCTAACCCCTGGCAGCTCTGCACACAGATGCTTTGTTCTATGTAGGGGGTGGGATGGGGGAGCCCTGCGTGGGAATGGGGGTGTGGAGTCAGGGACCAGCACACGGCTCCAACCTGGACCACAGATAGCCCTGTGCTGTGCAGGGCTGCAGCAACCAGGCGAGAAAGCTGAAGTGGTGCTCCCCACCCCACAGAGTTCCCAGGCCTCTCTTCCCGGAAAAGGGCAGCTGGGTTCCTGCTTGCCTGCCCCTGGCGGGCTCCAGCCTGGGGAGGCCCGGAAGCACGGAAATCCCAGAGCTCCGGTAATTAGGGCCAGCAGGAAGCAAGCAGAGGGATGACCGGGGTCGGGAGCCCCACCGAAGGCCAGGGCTTGGGAAGGGCGGCTGGCTTGTCATCTCAATTGGAGATTGGTTGATTTTGTAGCTAGCTCCCAAAGAAAAAAGTCAACTCTAATTAATCTGTGGGTTTGGGAGCGCAAAAGAAACAGGGCCCAGAGAGCACAGGGTGGGGCCGCCGTCTTCATTTTCTGATCTGGTTTAATTTAAGTGGTCTGGATGTCCCTGTAGTGGTTAGCCCCTGCCCCATGTGAGGGGCCCCTGGGGCTGGATAACTCAGGGTTCTGGGGGCAGATGGGACAGTGGATGCTCCACTGTGTTGGGAGCTACCGGCAAAGCTGTCCAGCTCTACTGGGGGCCCTATGTCTGTCTCAGCTCCCCCAAGAGGCATTGGTGGCACCAGTGCCAGCGGGCAAAGTGCTCCACGTCTTTAGCTGCTCAGTTAAAACAGAGTCCCCAGCACCGTGTGCCCTGCCACAACCTCCCCTTTCTCCACTCACAGGGAGCCCGGGGTGCCCAGAGAGTGCTGAATTCTTGTCCTCCCAAGAAGGAAAACTCCAACTTCTGTCTCTCCCTTCTGGCATCACGGGACCTTGAAAGCCCTGGGAGATGCAGATTATTCCAAGCCAGGTGTGGCAGTTAGACAGAACCATGCTGGCTGAGGGATGTGGACTCTGTGGGCTTCAGTCTGCTGATCTATAAACTGGGGATAAGACTCCAAGCTGCTCACAGCCCTACGAGCAGGATTCAACCTCACGAAGCATGCAAGGAGTGTGGGCCACAGCTTGGCACGGGAAGAGGCCCAGCAAGGTAGGGCCACAAGTGTACGTGATGGTTCTATAGGAGCGGGTCTGCCCACTACCAGGTCCGAACTGTAAGGACGGGGAGCGATTCTGTCCCTGGGGGTGCCTCAAGGCTGACAGAAGTTGTAAAACATTAGGTCCCAGTGTCTGCAGCACGAAGACACAGCATGAGATGCTCCCCTAGCTCCTCTTCCAGGCTGAAAGCCACCTGCTGGAGGGGAGCACGTGCCACAGTCCCCCACATGCAGACCCCAGGCTTAACGCCCAGATCTCCATGGCCACTGGCAAGTGCACTCCCACTGCGGGACAAGCCTCCCAACACCCATGAACTTAGAGATAAGCTCTCACCAGCTTTGCAAGCAACGGACAGCCTGACAACACTTGTCAACCCTTTTGAAAGAGAGCCAGGGCTGTAATGTTTCAAACACACTTTGTGTCTTGTGGCGTACTTACAGTGCGCTGGATCATACATGTGCATCCGACAGGTACCACATGGGTACACAGCAGTTCTCGCCATCTGCCCCTCTCCCCAGCCCTCTGTAGGCCGTGATCTCCAGCAGCTGGCAGACAAAGTCTGGCCAGCTCTGCTGCCATGGCTGTGGGGTGGGGAGGCAGCCGTGATGGAAGGAACTGGTGGTTAGCACCCTTCATGACCCTGTGAAGAAGTCATTTCATCACACTGAAAGCCCTGGCTAGCCCTGAGTATGCACAGCTAGGGTGGAGCAAGCAGGGCTCAGCTGGAGGCCACATCTGCTATCCCACCTGCCTGCTGGTTTTGAGAGCTCTACGCTTACTGACACTTCCTCCTCTCTGGGGTTGGGGGCAGATCCATCTTCCCTGCACATGTGCCCAAGCCACCCTCTAGCTTAGCACCTCCCCCTTGTGCCTTACTACAAGAAGGGAGTTGAGAGGGCAAGAAAGAGAGAGGGAGAGGACCAATAGGCAAAGGCAGGGAGTTTGGGGGACTAGTACTCCACATCCCAGAGAGGCCACAGCGGGAGAGGCTATTTTAGTGCCTGGGCCTAGACTTATGGGACCTGGCTCTAGTTCCAGCCTGGTGGTCTACCAACCGTGCAGCCTGGAGCAAAGTGTGGGCCTCTCAGAGTTCCTCATCTGTATAAAGAGGGTGATGAAATCTGGCCGGCAGGAGGCTGTCCTGTGGGGGAAGTTACGGCTTCCATGAGCTGGGAGGGGCTTAGCCCTGTCTTTTGTCTAATGGAGAAGCAGCTCTGACCAAAGCAGCAATGACTCGGTTTCCTTGGCCTCTGAACCACAACTGCTCTCCCTGCTGGGTTACCCATCAGCACTTGCTCTGCCTCTAGTCGTGGTCTCTCTTCCCAGCTGGAGTGTGCTACGTTCCCAAGGTCAGGGGCAGCTCCATCAGCATGACCAGGATGGGTCTCCTGGCAAATCCAGCAGCACCAGGGGGTGTGTGTCTGGGATGGATCTGCTCATATCCTGGACCCTACCAACATGAGACCCTAGCCCGCAGTGCCACCTCTCTGTCCCAGAATAATAGGCGGCCCCCAGCTCCGACTTGCAAGCCAGAAGCCCATCATGGTACAACAGCAGTGGCTGTGACCCCCAGGCACCTACTGCCAGATTGAAAGATCTGCTGGCTTGGCTAATGGGCATACAGCCCCGCGCTGCAGCAGGAGGCCATCAACTCTGGGAGACAGGGTGCTAATGGAGGCAGCTGTGGGCTGTCAGCCCCACATCCTGACCCAACACCAGCATCTCAGTGCGTGAGAGCTGGTGAAAGCCAAGGATATTACTGGGTTACCCATAAAGCACCGTCATGGCCATGGTGGCCATGCTCACAGCGTCATGGCTCTGGGTACCTGTACAGCAATGCTTCAGTTCATCTGCCTTGGGGGCTGCCATGAGCAGGGCTGGGCCCCCTCATGACCACCCACACCAAGCTCAGTCCAGAACCCTGCAGAGGCTAGACCCCAGGGAGCCAGCTCCTGTTCATCAGGATTTCAGGAACACAAGACAACGTGGCCCACTTCAGTGTGGACATGGTCGCCCTGGCTGGCAGCAGAGAGCTCCTGGGTCTGAGGTCACCAACACAAGGCCCTGTCCCTCAGCTCTTCCTCCCCACTGAGTGGAGACAGACACAAAGTCCCTGATTGATCAACCCCACAAACATCTCAAGATTCTCACTCAGTGGATGTGTGTAGATGTGCAGTGCGTAAGATTAAGTCCTGACCCCGTGCATGCTGGGTGGATGGGTGGAGGGGGCCCTCCCCCTCCTTCTTACCTTCCGGCCGTGGTAGCCCTGGATCCCTGGGTCTCCCTGGAGAACAGAGAGGAGGTGGTTTAAGTGTTTTCCCAATGCCAGGCTGTGGTTCTCTGTATCCTCCACACCCTCTCTTCCTTCTAATAGCTCCAAATCTCCCAGCTCTTCCAGCAGCCTCTGAGGCCAGCATGCCCTGGTTCTGCTCCCCAGAACAGGCTTGGCTGGGTGCAGGGCTGGCAGAAAGGCTCCATGTGAGAGGGGCCCAGGAGACCAAAGGGTCAGCTTTTGTTCTACAATGGCTCTATATGGCCTGGGCAACTCCATTCCCCAGAGCTCCCAGCTTCCTTGTGGCCTGGGCAGCTCCATTCCCCAGAGCTCCCAGCTTCTACCCCCAGAGCTCTGGTGTCCCAGCTTGTAAGAGTCTGGTCTATACCATGGACTAGTGGGCAAGGTTCCCCGAGAGACTAGACAACCCTGAAGGTCATTTAGGAGTGTTTCGGGTACGAGACGGAACACATGGGTACTGAGATATCGTGGCCGTGACCTCAGTTTCCAGCAGGACTCTACTTTGCTTGGTGGGAGGGCTGCTTTTGACATCAGCCATGGCATTCTCCAGGTTGGCCCAGGGTACACCAGAGGGACAATTCTTGCTGGAAACAAAGTGGCTCCTGGGTGTGGGGGTAGTGTTTGGGAAGTGAGCCAAACGCGGTCACTTTTCTGTGGAGATAGCTCTCAGCCTCTTCCCCAGGAGCCTCCTATGATGCCCCCATCTCTCCTGTGGGCACCCCAGGAAGGCACTTACCTTCGGTCCTGGAGGCCCTGGTAAGCCCTGTGGAAGCAAGGAGAAGGTGAATGGAGATGGCTGGGGTTAGCCATGAGCAGCCCCTGATAACTGTGGGGCAAGGGCATTGGGAAGGGGCAGAGGAGGGTCTTTGAAACATCCAGGAAGAGGAATACTACGAAAAAAAATCATCCATGAATTTTTTTTATGCATGGATTTTTAATTGCTTTTTGCACCCAAATGAAATTATTTTTGTTTCATTTAGCCATCAACTTCATGTTGTGAGAGAACAAATGGGCATGCTGGCAAGTGGCTCTGGAGGGACTCAGAAGGGCATGTGAAACCTGCAGAGGGCACCCAGGGACAGCAGGCATGGGGCCCTCGGTGCAGCCATGTGGGCGCCATAAGCATCCACAGTGCTTGCCCACTGGAAAGTAGGCCAGTGGCATCAGGCTAAATTGGTAGTGTGCTTAGTCCAGATACCCACCCTCCTGCCTCCTAATTGGGGCTCCTCCCTGGAAAGCCAACCTGACCCAGCCCAGCCTTGATTGAGCCCTTGGCTCTGCTGCTGCCCAGGGTGCTGTGACCACAGCAGCTGGCAGTGGGGAAGTACTGTGGGCTGAGGGGGCTGTTAGAGAGAGGCTGGGGAAGGCTGGCTCCACCGTGGTCTTGGGTGTGGATCTGGAATAGCATACGCTGGTGGCTGACCACCACACCGCCTGTGCCCGGCATGCTCAGTTGGATTAAAATGCATGCTGTGCCCAGCCATAAACAACCTCACAAAGCAAGCCATTCGGCCTGGTGTCATGGAACGAGAGCCCACGGTGTTGGGTGGGAGGTTTTCAGCACAGTAGGAGTTTTGCCTGCTTGGGGTTTTGTGGCTTGGTTTGGTTCAGTTTTCATAACCTCTCAGGTTTTCTATGTGCCCATCCCCAAACTGATGGAAGCAAGACCAACCACCCTCTCTGGGTTCCTGGAGAAAAGAAATATCTAAAATATGCTCTGGGAGCAAAGCTGAGCAGGAGAGCTGGCTCCCAGCAACACAGGCCTTCATACCATCAGGGCCAGCCTTGCCAGCCAAGCTGGACGACATGGGCAGCCAAAGCTGCTGCTAGCCCCCAGGGACCCTTATGTGGAGGCCCACAGTTGGCAGCTAGGGCTGCCCAGGTGTCCGGGTGTGATGAACGCTCATGCATGTGATTGTGGGTGAGATGGCGGAGATCTGTCAAGGGGTCCTGGGCTCCAGGAGTCCTCCCCCAGGAATCTGTCCCAGCTGAACCCCCAGTGATGCATAAGGCCAGAGGACTTGGCAGGCCCATGCAGGGCCCTGAGCACCCAGCTCAAAAGGGTGGTCCAGCCATGTGACCCTGCACAGGCCCTGGAAACCACATGTGTTCAGGTTTTGCTCCTTCAGAACCTATTGCCTACAGTGTGGGCTTTCCTAGGCCCTGGGGCCAGGGGCCAGGAACCAGGGGTGGCCGTGGAAGGTAGCCGTAGGGCTTTGCACCCCAAACTGCTCACTGCTGAGGCTGGCCAAGGTTGTAGCCCACACGTGTTCCCTTTCTGGAAGGCAAAGACTTAACCTACGGCCCTGCTAGGTGTGTTTTCAGGACTACCAGCCAGTGTCCCAGGGATGGGCCTGTGTGCCTCCAGTGACTTTGCCAAGGCATTTCTGCCATTGGGTGGAGGCCCAGGTTCCCATTGATTATTTAAGGCTTGGAAGCTTCCAGAACAAATCCTGTGACAAATCTTGCAGGGGAGAGGAAGGAGATACTTACAGGTGGCCCTATGGGCCCTGGCAAGCCTGGATGTCCAAGAGGTCCACTTGGTCCAGGGGGTCCTGGAGGCCCTGGTGGGCCCTGGATGCCAGCCTGGCCCTGCTCCCCCTGAGGTTTATGGAAACAAGAGTTAGAAGAAGGCCCTGCAGCTGTGTACTAGTCCCCAGCCCAGCGCCATGCACCCAATGATGGCTTTGTGGTGGGCTCTGCTGGGAAGGCAGCGGTGATGGTGGGGACAGGATGGGGGTGAGGTGGGAGTGTGATGGTAGTGATGCTGTGAAGTGCGGTGACTACATGCAGAGGCTGGTGGTGGTGGTGGTGAGAAGGTGGCCAATACACCAGGGTCCCAAGAGGCAGAGAGGACCTGCTGTGTAGACAGCAGCCGGTGCCCAGGGGAGGGGTGCCTCCTGGTCTGACCACAGGCCTGCTCCTAACCTGCCCTGATGGCCAACGTTCAGTCCTAGGGGTCCGTGGCCTGGGCCTATGTCTATCGCCCTCTCGCTGTGTGACCAGTCCCCACATGCCAGCCTCTCTGTCACTGGATGGGAGCCAAGCCTGCTAATGTCCTGGCCTAGCCCTTTGCTGTTTCCACATGATCCTGAGGTCAGAGGCTATAACTTTGGTGTGGCCTACTCTGCACCCTGAGCAAGAGAGGTCATGTGAAAAATTTGGATAGGTGGTTTCTGATGCAGCGCTGGGGGCCTGGGCAATGCTGGGCCCACAGTCCTGGGTCAAGGGGAGTGCTTGAGTCCCCTCGGAGGCCTCGATCTCCAGACTTCATTCCTTCCTTACACATAGCCTTCATCTTTCCCTAAGGTAGAGTAGCTGGCTACAAGCCCTAGGCTGGGTAGGTAGAACAGTGATGCTGCCAGGTCTGTAAGAGTTGACAGCATAGAAAGCTCTTGTCCGTACCAGCTCCCTGAGCTCAGCCTCCCCATGCCCAGTGCCTGATGCCCAAGGGGGACAAGGATGCCACTGTGTCCTCTTGCAGGGTGAAAAGAGAGCCGTGATTATGGTCTGACCCATGCCATGAGGGACAATGTGGGCTCAGCTCTTGTGAGGGAGAGCCCATGGGCTCTAAGAGAGAACAGGCTGTAAGCACTTGGCCCCGGCCTGGATACTACAGAGGACACAGGCTCCCGCCCAAGGTCTTCTGCTTCCCCCTTGCTGGGCACTGTGTGGGAAATACAGCGACTGCCACACGAGTGTACACCCTGGGAAGGAGAGAAGTGGGGTTTCAGCCACACCTGCCTGGACCTCCTCTCAGCTGCAACTCCTCAGTGGCAGACTTGGGCCACCTTAGGGCTCAGGGAGTCCTTGACAGAGGAGGCAGGTGCAGAAGTCGCTTTGGTGGCAGCTCTGCCTTCCTGATGTACTTTTGGCCACGACATTCTAGAATACTGACAACCCAAGTCCTATTTTACAAAAGAGAAAAATGGGGTTCAGAGAAGTTGAGCTCCTGGACACAGGTCACACAGGGAATTCAGTGTGGAGCCGGGATGCAAACTCAGAGCTGGAGACTATATTCCGCCAGCTACCCCGGGCTTCCTGACCAGCTTGCTGCACCTTGGAAATGACCACCTGCTAAGCACATCATAAGTCATAGAAAACTTCCTCTTTCAACTCATCTATAACCCAGTGTTCATGTGTCTTGTAGAGCCTATAAAATCAATATCGGTTCATTGATAGGAAATGGATGAACCATTTTTTGCTGCCTGACAGCTGCCAGTATAGAAACTACATTCTCCAGGTAGGGTCTGCAGCAGCCAGAACAGGGGCCTTACAGCACAGAAAGCTCTGGCTGAACCACTTCTAGCAGGAACTTGCAGTGTGGGCTCAATGGAACAGGGCTCTCTGCTCCTATTTTCTCCTCAGAGCAGGGACAATGGTGGGTGGCTGGGGTGGGGAATCCTAGAGGACAACTCTTGTAGCATGCCCACAGCAAGACTTGGAGTTCAGGGAGGGCTCAGCAGGCTGCAGTCAGTATAGCCAAGGTCACACAGTGCTGTGGGGTAGTCCAGAAGAACAGCCACTCTGAGAGGGGCTCGCTGCTCCCAGCATGGGATAGGGCTCAGGCAGGGGTGGGTGACAGTGGGGCCAGCAGCCCCTTGAGCAGCTTTGCTGGGGAATGGGCACTCGGTGCCCACTGAGACTCTCGAGGGTTGGGCCACTATAGTGTGACAGGCAGCCCAAGCACCTCATGGGCCTCTGTATTTTTGCTGCTAATTGGAGTCATTGGCCAGCCTTATCCCATCAGGGGCCTGCACCCTGAGCCCTGCTTTCAGAGAGCAGCTCAGAGCCCTGAGGTGACGCCAGTGCTTTGTGGGGAAGGGGAGTGAGTACTGGTGGTCGGGGCTGGGGCAGAGTGGACCACCTGGCCAGAATCAGGCTGCTGTCTTTTGAAGAGCAGGGCTGAGCCTTGTGACCTGGTCCCAGCCCAGCTTTGGAAGGCAGGAAGCAGCTGCTCATCCTGGGGACGCCTATTGGTTGTAGAACATATTCCCTGGCCCTTTGCCTTCAGGTGGCAAAGGACAGAAGCCAGACAATCAGCATTTCTAAGTGTCAAGGATGCAGGCCCCACCAAGAGAGCTGACGGTGGGGTCTGATGACCGGGTTGCCAGCTCAAATTCTGCCTCCAGCTGTCAGTGTGTGACCTTGGGCTACTCATTTCTCTGAATCTCTGTTTCCTGGTCTCCCATCTATGGGTAATAGTAAAAATGATGGCAAACAGTAATCAAGTACTTACCCTGGGCCTGGAACTATTCCAAGAACTATACACACACCACACTACCATCCTCGTTTTCTAGTTCAGAAAGCTGAAGGCTGAGGCACACAGCTAGGGATGGGCCAAAGACCTGGACACAAATGAGTGTTCCATAACACATTGGTTGTGTGAGCCTGGGCAATCTCTCTGAGCCTTGATTCCCCCAGTGATGAAATAGGATGATCATATCCAATGCATGGAATGTTGGGAATGTTCAATACATTCAGCCTGTCAACCACATAATAATGTGGTGTCTGGCACACAGGGGCAGTGATGGTGGCTGTTAGGAGTAATGGCGTAGCAGGTGTACTTCTTGTGGGCAGCCCTCGCCCTGTGTTCTGACTTCCCCAAGGCAAGGCGTTCAGGGGCCCATTTCTGGCTCATTTCATTGAACTGCCTTCGCCGTAGGTGATCTATGTGGTGGGGCGCGGAAATTTGCTGGGCCCCTTGGAGCAGCTGGGCACAATTCCGGCAAACAGGAAAGGGTGCTCTACCTGGAAGGTTCGCCTTTTTATGACTGGGGGTGGAGCCAGTCGCACTGAATTGAGGAGAGGCAGCAGCTGAGCAGGATAAGTGGGGGGAAGTCAGAAGGCAAAGATCGCAGGTGTCCCCATAGATGCCAAGTCGCCAGGAAGGACAGCAGCAGAAGAGGAGAGAAGAGAAGTCAGCATGAAACAGAAAAACAGGAGGGAGGGCGTGAATGGAGCACATTCATGGCCAAGGATGCAGGGCTGATCTTGCCCTTGGTCCATCCCATAGAAGGAGCTCCCGGTTCACGCCCTGCCTCGGCCTCCAGCTTGGAACCAAGGGTGGAGATCAGCAGGCCTCTGGGCCTGGAGAGTGGTCCTCCTCAGCTGGTTCATCCAGGCCACAGAGGCCACCTGACACATGGCCCAACATTGCACAGCCAGCCCCTCACCCACCCCCACCGGGGGGACAGAGGCTCTGGCCAGCAAGCCCTCAGAAGCAGCTAAATTGGTACTTCATGGCTGACTGGCTGGCCCGATGTGACCACTTTGGGTTTTTTTTTTTTTTTTTGATTTTTTGGTTGCATGAAAAAGTCTAGTGTCAGCAACCCCAAGGAGGATGACCAAGGGCAACACCAAGGCTGAGGGTGTGGCTAAGTGTGGGCACATGCTAAGAGCTACAAAGATCTCACCCTGTGGCTGGAGGAGGGCTTGGAGACCAGACAGAGATGTCTTTAGAACATTTAACTAGTTGTGGAGGGGCGAGAGGAACTCGCAGTCACATCTAATGGAAGCTTACTTTCTGAAGTTGCTTGGCTGCTTCCAGTCACTCCGACTGTGAAAGCTGCATGGGCCTGTGACTCTCAGAAAAGGCTAGAACTCACAGGAAAGGAGATGCTTGGTTTGGAAAGTGCTGGAACTCACACCAACCCTGAGTGAATGCTGAGAGCCAGGAGCTGCCTAATCTGCATATACATGCAGCTAGAACTTGGGAGCCCAACTCCGGCCTTCCTGCTGCCTTGGTGGACAGCTGTCACTCCCAGTTACCACTCACAACCCCCTCCCAGCATATCCACCCACTGCTGGGGCCTGGGGACGTGCAATGTTGGGCTCCGTGTGCAGGAAGCCTCTTAGAGTGAGGGGTCCATTCCAGAACCCACAAACCTTCAGGGTAATTATCTGGTTGGAGCGAAGAGCTGCCATCGTGCTGCTTAGGTACTCCTAGTTTGGGGAGGGGGCGGGGGGGATGAAAGGGGCAGACACAGGGGAACAGGAGGAATGTGAGTGGGGAGGCCCATGGATACCTGCTCCCCTGCTCTCTGTCCCAGGGTCTCTGTTTTACCTGCTCCCCCATTTCCTCCCTAGGGAAGCTGGGGCCAAGGAGAGAGGTGGGCACCTGCCTCCCCCACCAAGCCTGCAGATCCCTCAGGAAACCAACGGGCCTCCAGGAGCCCCTGCAGCCCTACCTTCTTCTAGATAAACTTGTTCTGCCTGTCAGCTGATGCCCATACCCACTTTCACCCCAGTCCTAACACAGGTCTAACTGTAGCCTGTGGCCAGGGAGCTTCTGAATCTTTCTGTTACTGTCCTCATCCCTTTTCTTCTGTTGGGCTAAGGAGGAGAGAACCAGTCCCCTCCCACTGGCAAGCATCCCTGGGAACAGATAACATGCCACCCTCATGCCTGCAGTTGTGTTGTCTTTCACGCAGGGGGCTGCTGCCTTTTTTTGGGATAACGTAACAGCCCTGTGAGTTCATTGTTTCAAACAGGCACAGCTGACCTTCTATTATTGTATCAGGATCCAGCTGGCCGGAACACCAGGGCCCTGCATTCCAGGTGTGCATGCCACCCGCAGGCCAGCTATGTCTGCTTGGTCCACTTCCCCCCTCTCTCATGTGCCAGCCCCCTTAGGGCTTCCTCCTGGCCTAGGAGCTGGCCTGACTGCCTGCCTGCTTAGTGGCTGGGGCAGAGGGCATACCCTGCTAGCAGAATCCTCCCACAGCCAGCAGAACCCTCAGCCTGGTTTATGTCAGTCTCCAGTTCCTAAGCCCATGAGGACATTCCAGACATAGGTGAGTGGCCCAGGGAGTCACATGGGGCCCCAGAGTGGAGGGACAGACACCTGGGAACACTAGTCTGTACACCCACTGCCTGAGGCTGATCCGACAGGGAGGAGGGTTCTGCCTTGGGAACTCAGAACATGTCTTTTGCCCTGCTTTGTGCTCATAGCAAGGATTCCCAACAGGCCGCATGGTCTTCTGGGTTCTGTGTTTTGGGGTAGAACCGGGAGAAGGATGGAACTGGGAGAGGACTGGTGGAGGATCCATCTCAGCCCGAGGGTCCCCACCCCACTGGGAACAGTGTCCTTTTTTCTTCACCAGGTGTGCCTGGTGATGTTGCTCCAGGGGCTAGCCCTGTACCAAAGTTTGGGTCCACCGAAACATTGACTAGCCCCAAAGTCCTTATACTTGGCCAGGGCAAGTGGCTGGACAAACACACACATTCTGGATGGATTGGGAAGGAGACACACAACCTGACACCAGTCACACAGCAGAGCAGGGAATGGGGCATGGGTCCCAGACACACAGAGTCAGTGCCCACACGGTCTGCTCTGTACACACACACACACACACACACACACACACACACGGAGCTGTGCCAGCCACCCACACTGCACATCACCTCTGTGCTGGGGACCCCAGCGGGTGGAGGCTCCCTAGGCAGCAATGCCTCTGAGAGGGGCCGGAGCAGCAGTCCACTTACCCGGTGTGGGTACTCTCCACATTGACCCTGGGAGGAGAAAGAAGAGAAGGACAAGTGAGGCATTTGAGGGGGAATGTCTGTCCCTCAGGGACGTCCCCAGGACCTGAAGACTTGCTGTGCATTTCATTCTCCATCAGCCCAACTCTGGTCCTGGACTGTGTCCTCAGAGGCCAGCAAGGGGCCTGTGAGTGCTTTCTTAGCAGACACCTCAAGATCTCAGGGGTTCACCATGGGGGTGGCTGATGGGAAGGACCAAAGAAGAAACTGGAGGGGGTCCTGTTTCATCCCCCAAAAGAATGCTACCACAACAGCTCCCCTCTATTGCTTTTCCAGAGGATGGCATTTGAGGGTCTGGGAACAGAAACAAACTTAAAAAGGGCTACTCTGTCCCTGTGTCCCCCAGGGAGTGGGGGCAGCTGCCTTGAAGGAAGATTCTGGAAAAACTGCCCCATGCTGACCTTTTCTCCTTTTTGTCCTTGAGGTCCCTGCAAGGCAAAGGAGAGAGTTCAAGTTCAAAGCCGGGAAAATGCCACAGCCCCGCCCAAGATCCTCCATGGGAGATATGAACAAGAGATACCAACCTGCTGTCCTCGGGGACCTGTCAGGCCCTTGGGGAGAAAAGACACACACATCAGGGCCATGGGCCTGGCTGGGACCTGTGATGGGAGCCACAGCCAGGACTTCCTGCTTCCCACATGGTTAGGGCAACCTGGTCTTATACTGTAGGCTTCCGCTGCTTCACCAGTCAGTGGGTGCCACAGGCAGCAGGTACAAGAAACATTTTTCCAGCACTATGTTCTCATGGGCCAGTTACGTGGAAGGTTGCACTTGAGTGCCAGGTGGCCCTGGGTACTGCCAGCCTGCAGAACATTGTCTGCTTTCTACACTCAGCTTCAGTGGAAGGCACCCCCGACCCACCCAGCTAGAGGGCTCTCAGTGTCCAGGTGGGTGGGGGAACTGAGCCAGTGTTGCAGACCCAGAGAGCCCTGGGGAAACTTTGGGCAAGAGGGGAAGCAGCAAGTGAACAACCTCAGCCATATTCTGGGCTCCTTGGGGCAACACAGGGATCTCAGGTTTTCCTTGAATGATGTTTTGTCAAGTTCATGGGGCTGAGGCCGGTGTTGCAGTGCAGCAAGCCAAGCCTGTGCCACCAGCTTCCCATATGGGCACTGGTTTAAATCCTAACTGTTCCCTGGGATCCAGCTCGCTGGGATCTGATGCCCCTGGGGAAACAACAGAGGATGGCCCAAGTATTTGGCCCCATCTACCAGTGTGGATGGAGTCCAGGCTCCTGGATTTGGCCTGGCCCAGTCCTGGTTGTTTCTCTTTCTCTCTGTGTGTCACTCTACCTTTCAAATAAATCAATATCAACCAATCATCTGATCAATCGCTTAAAAAAAAAAGTCACAGTTGAGAGTGACGTGCTCATCACTGAGTGCCCTGCAAGTGCCGTGGGCTACTCTGACTCTCTCTCTTCCTATTTCAGGTGGAGAAGCCCCTGCTTGCCTCTCTTTTTGTGTGATATGTCCGTGACAGACAGGCTTACCCCCACCCTGTCCCTTCATCAGGCAGGGATGCCAGGCTAGCATCACCCCTCTCCCACATCACCCCTTTCCCCATCCCCCAGGAAGCTGGAGTCACACCATCTCGCCTTTCGGTCCAGGTTGGCCCTGCAAGGAGAAGCACATGTGTCAGGTCCCTTCTAGAAGTCTCACCCAGCCCTACCCCCACCTGATTCAGGTGTGAGCCAGCTGCTTTCCCTTCCCCTGTAGTCACTTGCTTGCTCGCTCCTCCATCTCTCTCTGCCATCCCAGGCCCTGCCAACTCACACAGGTTCACTGGCCTTGAATACCTATGACAGGGGTCTGCCCTTCAAAGAGTGAAGGAGGAGGGTTGCAACCTCACACATGTCCACACACACAAAACTGCTTGGTCCTGCCAGCTAAGAGGACATGACCTCCATGAGCTGCTGGCCTATGTGTGTGTGTATAGGCGTCCTTGAGGGATTGGGAGGCATCTTCCCTCCTCACTTCTTCTGGAAGTGAAGAGGGGGCCTCCTTGCCACGAACATTTGGGTTAGGGAACCGACTCCAAAGCTTTCAAATGACCCCAGAGGCACTGTGCCAGAGAAGCAGCCCCACCGTGACGGGCATAGGTGTGCAGCCTTAAATAGGAAGGGAGACCTCAACTCAGAAGAGGTCAGGAGATGCAGGAGGGGCCTTGGAGAGGTGGGGGTCTTGCAGAATGATCAAGAGACCCAGAGATAGTGACCTTAACTGAAGCAGAGGGTTACCAATCCTGGATTCGGCCACTTACCGGTCTACCATCCAGTCCAATGGGACCCTGAAAGCAGAAAGAGCAGGTGTCAAAACCGAGGGCCCCGGGCTCCTGGTGACCAGGGACAAGTGTGAAAAGCTCAGGTTTATGTGACCATGCTCAGTCTGAACCCCAACTTCCCATCCTCAAATAGGGACAAGAATAATAGAACACCCCCCCACCATGCACACATATACATGGGTGGTGCTGGGGAGCAGCACCATATCAGCAGTGGCTAGCACCAAGGCCTGAAGGAAAGGACAGCCTGTGCCTTGCCTTCTAGAACTTTTCTTATGTCCAGTGTGCAAGGGTCAAAAGACACCCAGAGGGCACCCTTGCCTCCCTGGTGGTGGGGTCTCTGCTCAGAGCCCAGTGAGAGCTCTGAGGGCATGGTCCACACCAGGAGACATCTGTTTTGTAGCCTTCCTTGCTGATGCTATCTGGCTGGTCCTTTACTTGAGTGTTGCCCTGTGCTCTGTGCCATGAGTTGGGGGCTCTGAGCTCCTCTTTGAGTGGCTACAGAAGGGAGGGTGAATGGGGGCTGGGATTTCAGATAACCAAGCCCAGAGATGGCCTGGGACACAGCTACCTTCAGCCTTTTCCACTCACCGGAAATCCAGGAAAACCTCGGGAGCCTGGTTGACCCTGAAGAGAAGGGGAGAGCTGTGAGCATGAACAAGAAGTGAGCTGGAGCTGATCGCTGGTCCTCTGGATCACTTTGGCCCCATCCTTGCACTCATGCCTGCTTGCCCCAGGGGGCCACTCACCTCATGAGCCAGATGGGAGAGGTGGAAGGAGATGGATGGGGATTGGAACAGCACAGGACATGTCCTTCAGGAGCGGTGTGGGCAGCGAAAGGAGGGGCCAGCAGGCAGCCCCTGGGAGCTCCTTACTGCTAAGGACACGCTGAGACTGCTTATAAACAGACTGATGGGATGCTGGCGACAGCGGGGAAACAGTGCCTTGAGACCCTCCAAGTCCACTTCATGCATGGTCATCGCTCCCAGCCACTTACCTAAGCGTGGCTAGGATATCAGCAGCTAGTTGAGCTTGACCTTTAGAATGTATATTCACAGGCTAGAAGGGGTAAGATGACTCCTCTCTCCCTTTGACCAGCAGCTTTCTCCCAGAAGCTGGCTCACCTCTGGATTCCCCAGTGTTGGTGGGAGATGCAGAGCAATGCCTGCCCACTTCCCCAGAAGTACAGAGTGTCATGTACAGGGGACACTCAGGAGAGACGGAAGCAGTGTCCTTGCTCAGGTGTTACACAGAGTACAAGGCTGTGGATGGCTGAGCAGGAGATTAAGGGTAACAGGAGAAATACAAGTTAGGTTGTTCCCTCTTCTCATGAGCCGACAAGGACTCTTTTAGAGACCCACATCACTCCAACTCAGTCTCGTCCCCACTGACCATGTCACTTTCCTTTCCTGCCGCCTTGCCCACCCACTCTGCTCAAGCCCATGGCTTACCTGCCTCTCCCTGATACACATATCCAGCACTCAGCATGACATCTCCCTTGCTTGAGTTTTAGTCTTGCCTCTACCAACAATGGCTGTACAACCCTAAGCAGGTTGTCTAACCTTCCCCAAGTGGCAATTCTGCAATGGCAATGACCTGCTCGGACAGCAGAACTGTTGAGGCAGCTGCCACCCCTGGCTGTATGTTGCCTTGGACTGCACAGAGGAGCCTCAGAATGCAGCAAGGCTGCTGTGGAACCCCATGAGTGCTGAGACTGTTGTCGTTCAGGGAGGTAATCCCAGGGTCAGATGCATGCCTCTAGATCCACTGATGGTGGCCCTGCAACATCTCCAAGCTGCCCAGGTCCACACACATGGCTAGCCATGAGTGCCTGACGGCCTCTGCTCACAGCACAATGTTGACCATTCTGACTGGGTGGGATAGGGACCCTGCGATGGGAGGGAGCAGGCTAATGGCCAGCATCCAAATGGGCAGCAGGGAGAAGTTGCTCTCTTCTGAGACCGGCCCCTGGCGTCTCCCTTCCAAGGATCAGCAGTGAGGCTAAGAATAGCCCAGAAGAGAAAACCCGGAAACCCTGCCTCCCAGGCAAGCTTTCTGTAAACTGCGCTCAGGGCCCGAAGCAGAGGTCAAGCAGGAGAAGGAACATCTTCAAGTGGCACTCCGGATACTGTTGGCGCGGTGGGGATAATCACACAGTTTGTTAATTACAGAGCCTTCCCAGGAGCTGGCCACATCTCTGCAGCCCAGAGCCAGATCCAGGGCTAACCAGACTTTTTTTTTCTTTCCTTGGGGATCTTGGGGAAAAATGTTGTCATAAACCAGCCCTCTGCTTCCTGGAGTGGGGCAGGAGCACAGGGGAGGGGGATGTCTGGGGAAGACTTAGAGCTCCATTGGAAACAGGCTGAGTTCTGGCTCCTCCTCTCCCTGCCATCCCCCCAGCGTTAACTGCCACTCTGACCTGTTTGTGAACTCCTTGTTTGAACTTGGCTAATAGGGGATGCTAGGTGATTTGTCTTTTCTCTACTAATTTGAGCAAAAAAGGATAAGAAGGACTTTGCTGGTCATAAATGTTGCAAATACTTTCTAGTCAGGCGTTTATCTTAGATTTTGTGCTGAGCTCTGTCATTTGGAAGGTTTATACCTATGCAGGCAAACTTAGCGACGTGTTCTGGCTTTGGGGCTTGATGCTTCAAAAAGGTCTTCATCAGTTCAGAATCTGAACACATTCCTTCCGTGCTTTGTTCGTGCTTTACTATTTTCGTGTTTTGCATCTAAGCACTTTATTCATTTGGAATTTATTCTGATAGAGTGAGATTGTGTTCTATTTTGTTTTTGTTTTTAATTTTTTTCCTAATGGCTTGCTATTGCCCAAGCATGGTTTCCGGAGCAATCCATCACTCTTTCTATTGTGAAATGAAGCTTTCTTCATGGACCACCCCCCACCCTGTGCATCTGGCTTTATTTCTGCACACTCACATGTGTGCGCACACACTACTCACCCCATTCTGCTGTATTCATTTGCTTGTTCTAATGGCACTGCTTCCTACTGCATTTTGATATATAGTAGAACAACTGGTCCCTTCATTCTGTCATCCTTATTTCCTGACTGTCTCACCAGCTCATTTTCTTTCAAACACAGCTTAACGTTTTACTGGACTCCAAACCTTATAAAAATTTCACCAGAATGAGGAGTAAATTTATAGATACCCAGGGCCGGCAGTTGGCCTAGTGGCTAAGATGCAGATTAAGATCCCTGCATCCCATGTTGGAGTTTCTGGCTCCAGCTGCTTGTCAGTGCAGACCGCAGCAGGCAATAGTGATGGTTCAATTCATTGCATACTTGCCACTCACATGAGACCCAAACTGAGCTCTTACTCTCTCAAATAAATAAAAAAATGTTTTAAAAAACTTTGATAGATGAAATAGGAGTCATTATCAGCATCCTACATAGGCATCAGGTGGAGTCCCAGCTTCTCCACTTGCAATCTGGCTCCCTAGAAAACAGCAGAGGAAGAGAGCCAAGTTCTTGGGCTCCTACATCCATGTGGGAGACCAGGAAGAAACTTCTAACTGACCCAAATTAATCTGTGGACTAACATTACATCCTTCTATATAAAAACAGAGGAAATAAGCTTTTGATTCACCTCTGAAATAATCTCCATACAAAGCCAAGAGAGAAAGAGAGTAAGGTGCTCCCCACTTTCTAAGTGAGCCCCAACTTTGGCTTGCTCCTCTCTATCTTCCTTAGTTCAGGGTAAAGTACTGTAGAACAACAGGAAGTTCTGGATGCAAGAGCCTATCAGGAAGTTTCCCTTCCTGAAAGTGGGTGTGTGGTGCACCTGCCCGGGCCTTGCCCCACCACAGCCCTGACCTACAAGGCTCCAGAGGTACGGACTTCCTCCCTGGTCCTTGCAGTCATGTACACACTACAGCTGCACCTCTAGGTCCAGGACACGGAGGGGCAGGTTCTGCTCAGGCCACTCCATGAGCAGTCAGAGCGGCTCCCATACACTTCACACTCTGGCCCTCCCGCAGTACACCGACAGCTGTACCCCACACAGGTCCCTCACTTCATGCCCAGGACCCTTGCTCACTGCACATCTTGCCATTTGTCATTCTGGCCTTTTTTTGTTCCCGGAAAGGGCTTCCCCATTCCTCAGTCATCAGGAGGGGCCTCTTAACAGGACACAATCTGCATGTCCTTGCAGTTTGATTACTCCTTCCTCCAGAAAGTCTTCGCTGCCTGCCCCCAACCCTATGTCTGGGGCCCCCACAGTTTCCAGAAGTTACTGTCTGTGTCTCTGTTAATGGCTGAGATGCCTGCTCATCTCTCAGTAGATCCCAGGCCCCGAAGGCAGCGGGTGGCTGTAGCCAGGTATCTGTGGTCTAACACTGGGATGTACTGGCAGCCTGCTGGAAGCCCTCTGCAGGTATGTCCTGCCATTGTGAGCTGGCTTACTGTGATGGAGCCTGCAACTCTGACACACACACGAGAAGCTGTCCCCTTTGAGTTGGGGGATATTCCCTAACCTGGCCTGCAGCGGGAGGGTCCAGCATGCTGTTTCGTGTTTCACTGTGCTGTGAGCTGCCCTCCCCAGGGTGCCCGGATGCTGTACTCTGCCTGGTCCGTTGATGGTTCCTGAGGCAGGTAGCCCAAGAGCAGCAAAGCTGGTTCTGATTTGCAGTATTTCTTCTGGACCCCTACTGGCCACAGGCTCTAGTACCCTCAGTTCCTACTGGGCAAGCTTGCTTAAACCCTGGCCCTTAATGACATCAGACCCTTTGTCTTCTCCGCTATGCCCTTCCCTGGTCCCTGTTCTCACTGACTCAGGGGGCTTCTGGAGGGAGATGTGGGATCACTCCCACTGTTTGGTGAGAACTCAGTGGGGATGGCCTGACCTATCTGGCGATGGTCACTCACACAGGCCAGAGTTGAAGGGGGTTGGGCTCCTGGTGCCCTAATATTTCCCCCAGCATTCAAGTAGACACCCGAAAAAAGAACTATTATATTTGCTGAAGTCAAAGACCAGGATGGGAGACAGGCTTTGGGAGCTGGGGTGCAGTGAGCTAAGCTGTCACCTGTTATGGTGGCATCCCATAAGGGTACCAGTTCGAGTCCTGGCTGCTCCCTGCTATGTACCTTGGAAAGCAGCAGAGGATGGCCCAACTATTCGGGCTCTTGCAGCTCATGTGGAAGACTCAAATGGAGCTCCTGGCTGTGACCAAAACAAACCTCAGCTGTTGTGGACATCGGGGGAGTAAATGAGAAGCCAGAGCTTCCCCTGTCCCTCTTTCTGTCTTACTAACATGTTGATTTTCAAATAATTAAGACAAATCTTTTTAAAAACAATGCAGGCTTTTGGAATGTGGCCAGTCTGGCCAGGTCCCAGCTCTAGCATTTCTGAGCAGAGAAGCCACAAACAAAACAAGAAGTTTCTTTCTCTGTGAAATGGGCCCACAGCTCCCATCTGTCCCAGGAGGACTAGCAGAGCTAGCTAGGGAGTCATCCTGCTGTGGAAGTCAGAGGATGTTGCTAATCCTGCAGTCAGACCCAAGGTAGCAGCTCTTTGTGCACACTGGGTCCCAGGTCGAATGGAGCAGATGCTGACCTCTGTCCTGCCCTCGTGGGACCTTGAGGGTGTCTGCTACTGTGATTGGTTGAACTGCGGCGCACACATGGAGCGTCCAGTGCTAAACCAGGAGGCAGAAGGAGAGAGAGCAGTCTAGGGGTGGGGCCCGTTTCCTTGTTGCTGCCTGTTCTTCCTACAAGGCCCCAGGGCCTGTATTGTCTTTCTATGGCCTGCTCTTACTGCTCATGAACCACAAGGCTTGGGGTCTTGATCTTCACCAGCACACAGGAGGCAGCAGCAAGGAGGACCTAGGCACACACCTGGTTGCGTCACCACAGCCTGGCCGGCTCATCACAGTTGTGGGCTCAGATAACAACCTCTGGAACCCTCTATCCAGGCCTGAGTGACCACTCTGGTATGATTTTTGGGCAAGTCACTCAACCTTTCTGTGTTCTGCTTCCTGGGAAAGGGTTAAATGAATTAGTCCATCTGAAAAATGTCAGGATGCACTTTCCATGGAATAAGTGCTCAGTGTGAGCTGCATCCCCTCGACCCAGCCAGCATGTCTTGCTGCCCTTGCCTTCCTTCCCCTGAGCCTGAGCTCAATGCACTGGCTCCACCTCTGGGCTCTCAGCACTTGCACACCCCCTTCCTGGAGATGCAATGTAACATCTGGTCTCTGGCTCTTCTCCTTAGAATAAGGGAAGCAGAGACTTCTGCTTCCCTGGGCTGGGTCTATCAGCTCAGACACTGGCCGCTGGCTTCATCCATCTGCTCAGTCTCTGAGAGGCTAGCCTTGTGTCTCAGCCCTTACTGTGGGCCACTGGTGGGGAGTGTGCACAGCCAAGTAAGGAGCTCACAGCCTGCTGCTGTGGTGGATGCTGGGATGCCAGGGCTCCTGGGTTCTAACTCTGCTGCAGCAGGTATGTGCAGGACATTGGGCAAGTCCTTCCCAGGTCTGTGAACCTGGGATTCTGGGCTTCTGCCTAATGCTTGCTCCAGGCAGGCTGCAGCTGCATGCTGGAGAGGCATAGGCACTGGCTGGCCTGCCTATTTCCTGGCTCCAGCCTAAGCCCTTCAGAGTCACCTCCCCCACACATACTCACACTCAGGCCATAACTGGAGGTATATTTAGTAGACCACTGCCTGCAACATCAGCAGCCAGCCCTGAGGCCGGCCATGCTGACCACAGCACATGTGGTGACCACCACACCCAGAGGCCTAGCTGGGCCTCCTCCTTCCTCATCTCCTCACCCACTCCCAACTTCAACAACCCACCTGGCCCTCAAGCAGAGCAACATCAACTTACCGGGGGACCTCGGGGGCCAATGATGGACATTCCGGCATCCCCAGGGGCGCCCTGTGTGGCAGGGAGGAGGAAGAGAATGGAGGTGGAAGCAGGGGAGGAGTGGGAAAAAACAAACAAACAAACAAACAAATAAACAGCCAAGTGAGAGCCGGCAGGTGGGGCAGGGTGGGGCGGCCACCCAGAATGCAGAAATGGTGTGACTCCAGTATGGAAAGACCAAGCTGGACACCAGGGGATGAGGAGAAGAGCAGGAAGGCAAAAATGCACTCACCTTCTCGCCTGGCTGGCCCTTGACTCCCTGCGGTAGCCCAGTGCAACACAGGGTGCAGCAAGAGAGGCAGGGGGTGGGGGGAGAAAACAGGAGAAGAGTGAGAGTGAGGCACCAGCACAGCAATCCCTGCCGACAGCACAGGTCGTGACTGGGGGGAACCAAGCGAGAGGGATCCCTGTGAACCAGGAAACACAACAGGTGCTGACACGGCAGATCTCAGGTCCAATGAGCTCATTGAGTTCACTGCATAGAAGGCTGCAGCCTTCTGCCTAGGGTCAGCTCTAGCGGGCAGCATGTGAGAGAGATACCCTATCTAGTGCAGGCCTGCCTGTCTAAGGAGCCAAGGCCTTGCTGGCCTAGTCTACTTGCAGGGAAAAGCGTGGCTGGGGAGAGTGGGACAGAACTGGGCACCGAGCCCCATAAACCTGGAGCCGTTAAGGCTGGCCCTGAGTTGGAGGGAGCGGCTGGGGCTGTGAGTGGACAGAAAGCAAGGTACATCACATGCAAGGATGGAAGCCACTCAAAGGCTGTTAGGCAGTCACCCAGTACCCCTTCCTAGCCCCAGCAAATCCCTGCCCTGTCAAGGCCAGTGGTACCCCTTCTGGTGAAGCATGGAAATGACCCAAGCATTTCACACTCAGGGGCTCAGACCAGGGCCCCTACTGGGTAGCCAAATGGACCCATTGCCACATGGAAAATTGCAGCTGCAAGTGACTGGGAGATAGCCTTGTTAGAAAGGGCCACCTCCTGTGTCTGAGCCACCCTCCGTGCGTGAGAGGGAACTTCTTGGGGGGAGATGGGCAAGGGCTCAAGAAGGCAGGTGGGAAGGGGGCACATTTTACAGACACCCCCGCCCCAGCCCAGCAGCTGCCCTCAGGGAGCTTCCTGACAGCAACTGAGGAGCAGCTGGGACTCTGGGGTGCAACTGTTGGCTTGGGTACATCCAGCCTATGAATGCAGCCTTAATCTCCCATCCATAAAACAGGACCTTGGTGGAGCGGGGTATTGATGGGGAGTATAGGTGACTCAGACTTGCACTCAGTCCCTCCCACCCCCAAGAAAGGTTGGCTGACTACTGCATCCCATTTGGGTCCTGGTCATTGCTTGGGTTAATGAAAGGAAGCAGTGACAGGTTCCAGCAGCTTGCCCTAGTGCTCTTGTCTGGGGAAGAGTGAGAGGGTGTCCTGGGGTGGCTCTGCTGTTTGACATACAGGCCATGACCTGGAACCTGTGCCCTGATGCCTTGAGGGCCTCAACCTAAGATCAGATCCTCCTTAGAGCTGTGTTGTTCCCAGGGCCTGGGCTCGCTTGGGGACCTTGGTGAAGATGTTTTTCCTCTGAGTCTTGGGTTTCTCCTTGTAAAAACAGGATAGGAGCTGTGCTTCCTTCATGCAGTGTGTGAGGATCTTAGTGTGAAACCCAGCATGCAGTTAGCACGCGCAAGTGTTAGCACTCCTTTGATGCCTTTTATCAACCTCTCAACACACTAGGCCGGTAAATTCACTTAAGGTTACTACACCTGCCACACCTGGGCCCAAGGTCAATGCCAGCGCAAGAGGGGAGATTTGGAGGCAAAGCCAGGAATGACATGGGATGGTCAAGCAGTTGAGGGAGATCAGGAAAATGATGGCTGCTGGGATGATGCAAGTAAGATGAAGGGTGCAGGCCTGGCCATGCCTGAGACCAGGCTGGGTGGTGGTGAGATTGGTTATGGCATTCAGGGCCTTGGGCTGCTGCCTTCCAGTCCTGCACAGACCATCATCATCCCAAAGCCACCAGGAAGCGCTGAGTGCCAGCACCTCACAAGTTTCTGAAGCTCTTGGAAATCACTCTCCAAGCAGTCCCAGCCTACCTTCTCTAACTCCACCTTGCAGCTAACACAGGCTTAGTGGTCAGCTTCCCTAGAAAGCTCAAGAGGCCCAGGGAGGATCACGCCTGTCCTTACCATCTTTTAGTGCACCTGTCCACTAGCTCCAGTGAGGGAGAGGCTGGGTTGCCCACCCTGGGACAGTGTAAGAGTCATCATAATGTCAGGGCTCAGACCCTACTCTACCTACCACCCAGTAGCTGATGGAAAACAGCTTTGATGCAATGCACCTAGATTTTTCTGTTTATGGTACTCTCTGGAAAGTACAGAAGTTGCTTATCTGTGTGGGGCTGTGTTCCAAGACCTGAAGGGGATGCCTGCACCTGTTGATACCAAATCTGCACATGCTGAGTTCTCCTTGCACATACACACCTATGCTGAAGTTACATTAGACCCAGTACAACGTTATCAGCCATGACTAATAACAAAACAGAGCAATTCTAATACATTGTAATGAACGTGATGGGAATTTCAACTCTCTCTCAAAACGACTATCTATGTAGGTTTATGATTGGGCAAGGTTGCCCACAGGTAGCTGGAACTGCAGAGTTGGATGAATACTATGAAACTGAATGGCGAGGTTAAAAGGACTGGGCTCAAACTGTTTCCCTGTCTCTTCTTCATCCGAGGTAGCCTGGGGCTTGGGCAGATGAATAGGCTGAGCCTGGCCTGGACTTCCTGTTCAGGGCTGTGGTAGGCAGCACCTGGCCATGGTGTGCAGAATAGGCTGGCGTGGAGAAGCAAGCAGTGGCCACACGAGCAAGTACAAACAGGCCAACTCACCACACGTCCAGGCATCCCAAGAGCACCTTTCTCCCCCTGATGAAGGAGGCAGAAACAGTCAGAAGTGGCCAGAGCAAGGCCAGTGGGTCATGGGGGCTGGCCATGAACCTAGTGTGGGAACAGCCAGCCAACGCTGTGTGGGCAGTTGGGGCAACTTCTGGGTGATGTCCACATGTCCCATGGATGAGTTTTCTCTGTTGCTGTAGGGACCGTCCAGTAATGGCCATCCCTAAGGCTATCTGCCCTTAGAGTCTGAGGGCTTCAAAGATCCTGCCCCCTGACAGGTCTCTGGTAGCTATGGCCAGGGTGTGTCTGTCTCATCTTCACCTCAAGGCGTGGAACAGAGTGAGTGGTGGCCCCCATGTGACAGATGGGAGGCTGGATCACTGTCTAGGCCTATCCCCGCCAGAGCTGGGACAGAGATCCAAGGACCTTCCCCGCCCCCCCCGCCAGTCCTCCTTTAGTTGGCAGAAAGAACCGCATGCCATGTGGATCCGGCTGTGTCATGGGCTACAGAGCTTGGAGGGAAGCTTTGTTCAGCAGCCAGCATTACATCTTCACACGCTGGACATCTGCTTATTAAGTTTTGTTCCTCTCTCTTTCGATAGAAAACATTTTTTTGCAATCACTTGCATGCAGACATCATAAAAATCTGGGGTGGGGCCGCCTACGAGGACGGAAAGTAAGAGGGTGCTGAGAGCGGAATAGAGTTTGTCTGGCCCACCAGGTGGAGAGCTGGGCTCTGCAGTGAGAAATGTGTGGGCGTCTCTAGGGGTGACTCTACACGTGCTGATCCCTCTGAGGCAGGATGCCTCCAGCAACAACCAGCATCCCCAGGGGTGCATGGGGCACACTGGGAAGCAGCAACTGGCTTTGAGGTGCATCTATCAGTGGCATCTTTGAGCCGAAGGTTCTAATCTCCCACTGTACTCCTGTTGCCTCCTGAGTGGAAGCCTCTGCCTTGTGGAACTGCCATGGGTGGGCAGAGTGCGGGGACTGCAAGATGACACCTCCGAGAGGCTCACACCTCTGTAAGCGTCTAGTAGACAGCATCTACCAGTGCTGGGCCTTGCACGGTCACTGTGTGTGTGTTACACTGGCATGTCTGATGGCCAGTCTGCCCAGAGCTTTTGGGAAGTCACTCCAGGTCCCTTCAGCTGGTCAGTGACCTATGGACCCTGCTGTGAGCATCAGGCTGTGCGCATTGTCAGCTGTGACATCCCCATGTTTGGGCTTGTGAATGATATTGCAGGATGTGTGTTTCTGTTACTTTCTCATTCCTGTTGAAAAACTAATGTTCTTTGCAGTCCTGGCCATAAAATGCTCGGGTGAGGGGCAGGCCCAGAATGGCCAGAGACTGGAAAATATGTGCAGCGGCCCCTGCTCTGTGACTTTCCCGGGATGCTTTTTACAGGTGGATGTCGTAAGAAAGTACGCACAGGCTGCCCACGTCCACCTCGGTCATCTGGCTTCTCCCCTCCTTGGATTTCATGGGACCTGGTTCGCCCAAGGCTTCATTCTGGCTGGGAGGCCTCCCTTTTCCAAGGCTGAGCCTTCTTCCACATGTATATCATTAAGACAGACACGCTTGTGTGAATTCTAGAAGCTGTTGGAGCTGTTGAAAGGCTATGGGATAATTCACACTTCAAAGGGTGTCACTGAGTACGAGGAAGGCATAGAACATTCTACACTCAACATACAGGTGCCAGCCCCGAGTCCTTCTCCATGCCCACCTCTGCCCCTGTCTGGCTGTGGCATCTTGCCTGAATCACTCTCCATCCAGGCACCCGCAGAACCCTCAGCCAGGACTCTTGTCTCTGCCTCTGGTTAGGTGACACAGAAGGCTTTACAGGTATTTCTTTAAATCAAGCACAGACTTCAAGAAACAGGAGGATGGGGCCCACAGGTTTAGAGCCAAATCTGTCAGACAAGGTCTGTTGCCCAAATCTCAGTTTTCTCATCTACAAAATGGATATCGCACCTGTTATACTGAGATATTGAGCAAATCAAATGTATGAAGAATGGTCTGCCTGATGCTTGGCACCTATTAAGATTTTAACAACCAATGGTGTTATTTGTATGACTTCTACTTTTGTCCCATAGCCCTCCAAGGGACTTTCTCTGGAATTCAGAAGTGGTCACAGGGAAAAACAAAGGCTTTGAGTTTCCTCTTTTACTGGGACACAAGAGACAGTGGTCTTCAGTGGGCCAGTGGGCGGCCAGCCCCGCTAAGTCGCTGTTCCCTGCCAGCACTGGTAGGGTCTGTGTGCTGCAAGCCCCGTGCCCAGGGCCCCAGCATCTACAGCTGCAGTCTCGAGACTGCCCAGGTCTCAGAGAGTGACCTGCGCCCTGGGCTACCTACTAGAGACTCAGGGAACATGTTTGGGGGAGTCTCACAACAGATGTTCCACCACCCTCTCAGGAAGAGCATCTGAGAGAGATGCAAAGGTGAGAAAAAACACAAGTGACTTACCGGAAGTCCAGGCCTGCCAGTGGGACCCTGAAAGAAAGGGTGACAGATCAGGGTTGTTGGCACACCAATCTGATCAACAACACTGCCCGGGCCAGCTGCGGGGATGAGAAGAGGGGGAGCCTGGGCTCCACGAACCTCTAGAAGTTCATGAATAAAACAGGGCAGGGGAGGGAGGTCTTCCCTACTAAGCCTCCTTTCAGTTCCAACATTAAAGAAAGCCACTTAGCAGAGTCCTCCTCCAGGCCATGCATTGTGGAAGGTACAGGGATGGAGGCTGGGGATGCCCCGCTCCTGACTCCAGCTTCACCAAGGCTGTAGTCTCACCAGTGTACCCTCTCTGTCTTTCTGTCTGTCTCATGCCATGCTGACCTCGGCCTAAGAAAGGGCTGAGGGGCGGGGAGGAGGATGGGGGAAATTAGGGCTCCGTCTTCACCATCTCACCCCTAGAAGGCTGGCGCTGTAGGCTATACTTCAACCTGTTGCACCACAATGCCAGCTTCTGTGCCTGACTCTCAGCTCTGCCACTTATTTCTGAGGTGACCTTGAGTGAGCCTCTGTTTCCTCATCTTGAACATGGAGAACAATCATGACTTAGGCTCTAGGATTAGGTTAGCAAATACTCAGTAAATGCAAAGATTTCAGAAGAGAAGAGGATGGCAGGGGACAGCTATGGAATCGGCCTTGGCCTCTCCCTTCAGTGACCCGAGGTCCTACACAGCTCCTCTCCAGCCAAACCTGCAGCCCCCAAACAGAGGCAGATGTGGATGGAGGGGTATCTGCTGCAGGCTCTTCCCCCTGCAGGGCTACTGAAGCAACCAGGACATCTCTGATCCTGAGTGTGTCCCTGTCCTGTCGCTCTGCTTGCCTCTGCCCTCATAGCACCATGGTGCGAGCTTCCCAGGCAGAGATTATGCTGTGTGTTCCATGTGTATTCTCCTGGTGCTTGGAGGAGTGCTCAGCTTGGGGCCCCTTGGCCAGTGGATGGTGTGAAAGTCCGTGGTGGTGCAGCCTCCTGCTTTTTCACAAGCCTCCTGAAAGCAAAGCTTCTGTGCTCAGCTCTGGTTCTTTTGTTCATGACTCTCAGCCTGGCTTCCTAGGTCTCAGCATTGGCCCAGATGCAGGTCGGTGACTGCCCTCCCAACTCCTGGGAAGGGAATGGGCCAGGAGCAGAGTTTCAAGGCTGACTGCAAGCAGGAACACATGGGCCCTTAGCTCCTTCTGTCCTTGCCACACACCTCCAGCCATTCTGACAAGCACGTACCAGGGAAAGCGTGTTTGTATCCCTCTCAGCACCAGCTGGGGCACAGCCTACCACTGTCCTCATACAGATGAGGAAACCGAGGTACATAGACCCTAAGTAACTTGCCAAGGTCACCCAGCTGGAAGTGACGGTGGCAAGCCGTCTGGCTCCAGGGCTTATAGTCGCTTGGCCTGACACCTACCAAGTGGTAGCCAGTATCTTCTCAGGCATCATATTCAGCAGGGCTTGGCAGCTGGCATCAAATGTTGCCCTGTATTGCTCCAGGAAAACAGACTAAGAGATCTTCCTTCTTGCCTGGGTGATCTTTTCTGGTCTCATAACTCCCAGGATTAAGAAATTCTCCATTAACTAAGCCTGAGAAGGCCCCTAGAAGTCCACTTAAGCATCAGCTCTCATGACTTGACAGTGATCACTGGATTCTGTGGACAATGTGCTCATGGATTAGCAATGTTGGCTCTGGGTATCAGGAGCAGGATAGTGCTGGCCACAGCTGTGGTACCACATAAATGGGGTCCTGCTACAGTGTCAGTGCCTCCCTCATGGTTGCCTCCCCTCACACTGGCTAACAGAGCCAAGCCCCAGCTACATGCAGGGGGCAGTGCATGGGACTCTGGCTGGCCCTGGATGCTGGCCACAGGAAACAAAGGGGACAGGGCTGAGGAGGTGACCCGCACCTTGGCCGGCTTCCTGTTCCCTTCTTCTGCCTTGGGTTTCAGCCAGCACCGGGCCAAGATCCAGGGCTACTTTCAGCGTCAGCCTCCCAGTGGGGGTACCCCATGACTCACCTGGTGACCAGGTGGGCAGAGACTGTGGGACACATCCCTCTCCTCACTTGCCCCTTTACTGCAGGCTGCACAAGCGACAGGCAGTTCCCATCCTGGCCAGGGACAGTCCCTGGGTCAGGCCCATAGAGCTCTCAAGAGGATCTCTGTGTTGCACTAGAATCCAGAGTCCTGGATGGAGAAGCACCCCTCAACCGCCGTGTGGGACAGGTCGGCAGTCCTTTTCTGTGCCCAGCAGGTGGCTTTCCTAGTTGCTCGGGGTGCTCTATTTTAGAGGAATGATGCCAGGCACTGAGCTCTAACATCCTGAACATATTCTGATCTGTCTGCCCTACACCGGACTACTCAGCTGGGGGACCCTGTGGGCTCCTCAGCTTGGGTTCCAGGGCCTCGTTGGGCTCTTACAGGGATATGGGCTACTGGATTCCTTCACAGCAAGGCTGGGTGGGGTGGGGCCTCACTAAAGAAGGGCCAATGCCTAGGGGAAGATCTGATGCAGAGCTGTGCCTTTCCAGCTCCACTCCTGGGTGCCCCTGGGGCTTCAGCAAGCCTATCAAATACTGACTGCAGGAGCACAGGCTCAATTCTTGGATCCCTGAGGACATGGGGAGACGGCTCCTCTCGGGTTCTTTGATAACCACCCCATGTCAGGAGCCAGGCCAGGGGAGAATGACCTGCAACCTGGGACTGGCATGCTGTCCCCCAGTCTAACTGGCTGATGCTGCCCTTCCCTCCATGGCAGCACCTGCCGGGGCGACTTGACAAGAACAGAGCCACCCCGTTACCCCACCCACACAGGGGTGTGGACAGCACACTGCCCGTCTGCCCCTGGAGCTGCTGCCACCTGACCTACTTTCTGATTGGAAAGGCTAACTTTCAAGGAGTGGAGCCGAGGACAGGAGACCTCAGACCATTCCTGTTTCATGCTTGGAGAGTCTCTGGTTCCAGATACTTCTATGAAGGTGAGGGAAAGGGGTTGGTAAAATAGCCCTTCAGGATGAAATCTGGGGCCTGCTTCACCCTGGAAGTGCAGAGGGCTTGGAGTGCTGGACAATGGAGTGATCATCCTGGAGGAACCAACACTCTCCCCGCAACACACACCCGCTGTCCAAGTACCCACAGGGGCCCCCTTGCAGTGTGGGGCCCAGCTGTCAGTACCCCACCGGTTACCAGCAGGAGACACAGGCCTCTCAGATGCACGAGGCTGACTGCATCCTGAGTACTTACAGGAGGTCCTGAAAGAGAGGGAGAAAGCTAGAGTCAGTGTCCCTGCAAGGGGCGTGGCAGAGAGAGGCCGCCTTAGAAGTGGCGTCCAAGAATTCCATAACAGAGGGATTTCCATCTGGTCCTCAAAGTTTGGATTTTCCTGGCCCACTTTCCCCAGCATAATCTCTTCCCCCTCTATTTAATCTCCATATTTTCGTGACAGGATGAGAAATCCAGAACCTGCTGGAGACCAAGCCTAGGTTCCCAGACCTCAGTTCTCCCTACCCCCTGCCCAACACAGAACAGGGGCTCTCATGTTCAAGGTTGCTGTGCACAACATGGACATGGGGGTGTATTGAGCAAGGGCCAAAGATAGGAGGATGGTTTGTGGCTCCTGGCACCACTCTCTCCCATCTCCCTTCCCCCTCCAATTTCAGGCAGAAGGAGCCGAGGCCAGGAGAGCGGGAGGGATGGAGGCCGCTTGCCGGTTTCCCTGCCCGATGTCTATCACACTGCCCTGGTTTCTGCTGGGCTTTGAGTCAGGCCCTCTATCCCTCGGGTCTGCTGCCCACAATCGTCCTCCCACCTCCCACAGGCCTCAGTAGCAGTCCTATCTCATTACTGGCAAGAGCCAAGCATTGCAAATCCAAGTGTTCCGAAGAGGGAGCAAGGGAGGGCGGGCAGAGAAGCGCCTGGAGACGAGAGACTAGAAGGCATCTCTGTGTGTGGAACATGAGCCTTGCAGCCCCACCGCCCTGGGGCTCCCAGCTGGGCTGGGGGCGCCTGCCCGGCCCCTGGTGACCTGGCCGCAGTATCTCAGCCACTGCTTCTTTTATGTGTGGCCAATAATGACCGCCTGTGTCTCCCTGGCCGCTGCTGGCATCTCCCACACAGCTTCCTCCTCCCCTCGAGCATCTGCCTGTTTCTCTGTCCTGGCCCCATCCAGGAGGAAGTGGCCTCCGTCACGCTGGCTGCTGTCAAGTCATCATGTGAAAGGGAACAGAATGTCTCAAGTTAAAAACAAACAGACTGAAAGTCCAGAAAGGTAGAATGGCTGGGACAGCCTAACCCAGGCAGGTTCCAGGCTCCAGAGCAGGAGCGTGGCAAAAGGAGGAAGACATCTAGGCCCGAGCAAGCCTAGGGAGAAGGAAATGTCACCCAGAATCTGAAAATATCCCGAGTTTAGCCTGCCAGAAGAGGTTGTGCCTACTGGCCCGGAGAAGAGGCGGCAACACAAGAAGCAGGCGGGTGACCATGTGCAGGCCATGGTGAGGATTGGCGGGGCTGCCACATGGAATGCAGATGCCCTGGGAGTGAGGCCAGGCTTTGGGGCATCTGTGAGGACACACGCTGCAGCTCGGGTGCGGCCTTGTCCATGCCTTGTAGGCTCAGCTGCATAGGTTACACTGACGGGAATGAGGAGGTTGATGCTGACAGGGCACTTGGACCTCAGCTGGTGCCAGCAAAGCAGGTGGTGGGGTCCAGCCCTAGTGGCAGTAACTCTCCCGAGGGTGTCAAGGGTTTTTGTACCACTGCTGCCGCTGGTACACACACCTCTGTGGTCCTCACTAAGCTTTTGCCCTTGCAGAGGAAGCTGTCACCCCACTTTACAGAGGAGGAGATGCAGGCACAGAAAGGGTGAATGGCATCCTAACGCCACTTGGCTAAGGATTGGTGGAGCTCCTGTACCCTTCTGTGCAGCATCAGGAGTGGGACCAGAACCCAATCTTGCTTTCCTGCCCAGGGTCTTGCTAACAAGCCACACCTTCTCTTATATAGCTGGCTCTGCTGCCATCTGACACATCGACTTTATCAGGAACCAAAACACCTCACTTCTTATGCACCTGCTAATGGGTCCTGGTAGGGGGCAGGGAGGGGGACCTATTCCTTGCAATGGAGAGAGCTGAGATGACTGTCCTCCTTGGAAGCCTGCTGGGGGCTCCCAAGTGAGAGGCCTTAGCTATAGCCCCATGAGAGGACTTTCTGCCCCAGATCTTCCTCCCGACCTCACCAGTTTCTTATTGCTCCTCTCCAGGAACCTGGCCTACATCCTCCAAGCAAGGTAGCCTTGTTCCCTTTAAATGGACATGGACAGGAAGGAGCTTGACAAAGAATCCTGGCATAACCTTCTGGATGGCCTTTCACTCATTCTAACACCATTTGACCAATGCCTGCTGAGTGTTGGTCCCTGGGCTGGGCTGTAATGGTTGTGGAAAGATGAATGAGACAGGCCACTGCCCTCGGAGGAAGGAAAAGCTCATTTTGCAAGCACCTGCCAGTCCCACTGCGAAGCTTTGGTGACAGGGAGACGAATCACTGATTTCCTCCTGCTGAGAAGTCCACGGTCTCCTACGTGAGAAAGCTGGAAAGTATCCAGAGAAGAGAGCCGACACAGAGGAGGGCTGCAGGGAGAGAAATCTGCCATGGGAGGGGTCCTTCCTTCCTCCCACAGCATCTTCTGAGCTGAGGGAGGCACAAGGCCAAGTGTGGCGATCATAGCACTGTACTTGCTCCTTACAAGGACTGGGTGAGGTAGCTAGGGTTGTCATTTCCATGTCATGGATGCTGAACCTGAGGCTTAAAGGTGAAGCAATATACCCAAGTGGGTCTGCCTACCTTAAGTAGTAGTACTTGGCTAATTTTTTTTAATTAGTTTAGTTTTTAGATTTAATTTCCCTATGGTAGAGCCTGGATTTGAACTTTGAGGCCTTTGTTCTCCAGGCTGGAGGTCATGAAAGTCCCAAGGGGCGGGCAGCCCCATCCCCACAGGCTCAGCCCACCTCCGGGCCTCTGGGTCCAGTCCTGGTCCTGGGCAGGGGCAGGAAGGGTCACAGGTGCTCCCAACTCCACGTCCTGCCCCCATGTGATGGCAGAGTTCTGGCAGCTGGGGTCCTAGCTGGGGGTTTGCTGCCAGGCTGCCCACAGCTGACCACCTGCCGCTTGGATCAGCCTCGTGCCTGGCTCATCCATCTGTTTCAGAGCAGTTGCTCTGTATGCCTGCTTTTCTTGGACCCTTAGAGTGATTACCAAGACCTGTCCCGCTTTGCCTGCTGGAACAGGGTTCTAACTGGAGGTAACTTCACCTCCTTCCAGGGCGTGGTGAACAGGCCTGGAGATGTTTTTGATCTCCACAACTGGGGTGTTGCTACTGGCCTCCTGTGGGAACAGACCACAGATGCTGCTTCCAGACAGTGCACCCAAGTCGGCCCCGGTTGTCAGTGGTGCTGACAACAAGATGCCCTGCCCCAATAGGACACTACCTTGCAGTGCCCATAGATCACACCCTGCTCAGGCTATGCGGACAAGGCTCTGCTCTCTCCCAACCTGTGCTTTGCTAACTTTTAGGATCTGGCTCCTTGGTAGTTAGGCCTGCCCTACCTCCGCACGAGACCTTGTCCATTCTTGCATGCAGCATGTGTTTTATGCATGTTGTCCAACCACCCTAGTGAGGTAGCCTTGGCTTATCTCCAAAAAGTCAAGGCCTAGAGAGCTTAAGGGTTGTGTTCAAGGTCACAGAGCTCCCATGCACCCAAGTGGATACCCCCACAGGAGCACAGTTGGCTGGGGAAGCAAATGTGGGAGAAACAAAGGGTCAAGTTCAGCCTCGAAGAGGGTAAAGAAGGGAAAGAGGAAGAGCTTCAAGGCCGATAGGAGCAGGTGCAACAGCCGGTGCTTAGCAAACTTCAGGGCAATCTCTTGAGATCGACATCAGAGACAACAAGCCAAACTCTGTCTTCCAGCCCCACAGCAAAACTCCAACCACAGAAGGGTGAATTTCTGGGAATGATCCAGAAATCTGCAACTGAGGCCCTGGATGCATGTCTGACAAAGCACTTCCTCCTACAAACCAACTCCCATTTTATGTATGAGGAAACTGAGGCTCAGAGAAGGGAACTGTCTGTCTATGGCTCATCACTGGCTGGCAAATGATGCTGAATCCTAGTTCAGGGTACTCCTCCCATAAGAGCCCACCACAGGCAGAGCTTCACTGTGCTGCAGGAGGGTTCACATTCCTTAGAGGCTACAGGATCGTCAGAGCTGACAGACACACAACCTTGTGAAAGCCAAGCGCTCACTTCTCTTCCCATCTTGGTGTTCTGTGCCTTTGCGTGGGTGTGGTGGCAGTGTGCCCACCCCAGAAACTGTCCGAGACTACAAAGCTCAGATTTGGACCAGTGTGCTATCACTATGCCACAGGCACAGAAAAGCCTTTCCAACCCAGGTCGACAGAGGACACACATCTCCATACTTCCTACTCCTACACTCACGGCAGACATGGCTAATCAATCACAGTGACTTTTCTTCCTCACTGAGAGCAGGCAAGGTTCCACAAGTCCTTCCAACACAATCCCCATCTGTCAGCAGGAACTGGCCCTTGAGAGGGAACCTCTTAGTCATCATGGAACTAGAGCCATCGGCGGGGGGCGGGTAAAGGGGGTGGTGAGACACTGAGGAAGGAGGTTGGGAAGCACAAGGGCCCTGCTCTGATTTAATCAGGCACGGCTGAGTCTAGGGTGATGGGAGTGGTGCTGACAGAGACGGAGTGGGGCAGACTTGGTGCTCTGGACTCCCCCAGACACATGTTATAGCAGATGGAGGCCTTGACAGCTGTAAAACCTGCACAGAGACTGGCAGGGGTGGAAAGAGGGGTGTGAGCAAAGAAGGGGCACAGGCAGAAAGATCCCCTTAGCTTGGTTCAAGTTCTGGGCCCAGAAACCCATCCCCCACTCCCAGATGGCCTGCATTACCTCCCTGGCCATGCTTGTGCCCATACCACACCTGCAGTCCCTGGCAGGCCTCACAAAAGGTGGACTTCCATTTAGATGGGACACCCCTGTCCAGTTCCAGGGGCTCCTGAGCAAATCCTCCCTGCAGTCTAGAGGCTTTCCCCTTGCTGGCCTTGACCTCTATCCCATTTGTCTCCTGACTGTGGCTATGGGCTGGGGGAAATTCATGGGGTGCCCTGTGGCAGGTTCCCCTCAACAGCCATTCTCCCCTTTCCCTTTCCAATGGACCTTGATTTTTATCC